GTACAAGTACTTAGGAGTCCTGTTGTACAGGTATACACTTGCCTGGTAAATTTCTTTCCAGAGGAAGCTTGGAAGTTTTGAGCTTGCTCTCATAGCTCGCGATTTCTCCTTGACCACACCCCCTAAGCGCTCGGCACCGCCGTTCTGGGCTTGTGTATGTGGAGCGGAGGGCTTGACTTTGAGATATCGTGCCTGGAGCCACCCCTTCAGTTTGAAGGATTGTGTGATCTCGTTGTCGCACTCGACTGACTTTGGTTTGATGTCGAATTGTCGCTCGAGGATACCGAAAACATCATCCAGTGCTTCAATAATTGACTCTGCTGTCTTGTCTCTCATGTAGTAGTCCCATGAGTATCCGGAGTATCTGTCGGTGAACATACACAGTCTTGAGAAGCCCTCTTCGTCTTCTTCGAGATCGTGGAAATCCACCGCAATGCAGCTTCCTGGTTCTGTTTCCGGTTCCTTTGGAATCCGGGATACTTGTCGCTTAGTCTTGGCGGTGCCACAGCCATCACACTCAGTAGTCTTTGGGCCAAAGGGACCCTTGACCTTGACTCCTTCTGAATGGCTTTTGTAGCAGAAATGTGTTGATTGCGACGTGTAAAGAAGGTTTGTGGGGTTATTTCCAGGGGCAAGTATTCTATTACGAATTGGTCGAACATCTCTGTGATCTGACACACCAGAGAACTGTCCTTCCGTCGTAATGAGTTGTTCGGATACTTGTTATCCCACCAGTACCCCTTGCGTCGAAGCAGTCGGAGAGATACGAGGTTACAGGCGAACCCTCTACACCAGGCCACATCATGAAGCCTCAGTATAGTTGGTCCTTGGTCGCCCTGTACCTCAATATCAACGTCTCCGTATCCTTCAATTTTTACTATTTCCTTGCCTGCGTAGATCATGTCTCTTGTGGCTGGCGTTCGGAAATTCTGGAACCTGCTGATCTCGTTGAAGACATGGAGAGTTGTTCCGGAATCAAGAATTGTCGAGTTCTTCAGGGGATAGGTGCTCCCTTTCCTTATCAGGAAGCTCGCTGGCACCTTGCCCACCTTGAGCTCGAACTGAGCTAGTCAACTGTTGACTGCTGCCTTCTTGATCTTCTCTATTTCCTCCTTCAGACCCTTTTCTGTCCTGATCCTGTGGGCAACAAGTCTTGCAACAGTCTTGTTTTCTTTGCCTTCTTCGTAGTAGGGGTTCTTTTCTTTGAACACGTGCCAACATGATTGTAGTGGGTGCTCGCCTAGACACGCTTGGCACCAACTTGCCGATTTTTCCTCGACTGTTGTCGATTCTGCCCTTTTTCGTTTTGCACTTCCTCCACTCCCTCTGCCATTGGTAGTCTTGCGAGGCACTGTAGGAGTGAGAGGAGTCTCTCCTGCTTCGTCACATGCGTCCTGATTGAACGTCACAAACGAGCCTCTCACAGCACGTTTTGCTGGTAGCACGCCGTTCTTCATGAGTGCAACTCGTCGCATCTCTGCAGCAATGTCCCCGACGTCGAGTCTGTCTGCTACCATATCTGATTGGCGTGTCATGCTGAAGGTTGTCGTCCATATAGGCCATATCACGGACAGGGCCTTCAGAAGGTCTCTTCCCCAGGAGTCAGAGTTGATCGTCTCTCCAATCTTCTTCTTCTTTCCAGTGAGGACTACCTTTTCCCAGGTATCAATCCAGTCGTTCATGTCCTTTGGTGGACTAGTTAACGGTTTGAGGTGACTCAAGTAGGCGTCCCGGGCTGCCGGTCTTGCGTCCTCTTCGTATGCTTGTCCTACAAGTGCAAGATTGGTGTACCACTGATCCAGAGATTCGTCCTCACCACAGTGGTGTTTCTTGAGATCTGGATGGATGTGCTCGGTTACCCAGTTTCTGAGCTCGATCCTATGGTCCCGGTGTTCCTTGTACTCTCGGTAGTCTTGTTGATACGCAGAAGTGTCGATGGCATACTCAGCCTTGCCGTCCTTTGATAGCTCAGATGGTTTTGTAGGAACCATCTCAGGTGCGGCTTCGATATCTGGCGAGTTTTCAGAGCGCTCTGCGATTTCAATCTGGCTCTCTCTCCAGGCCACCTGAAAAGCCCTTTCCAGGTTCTTGTCGACTGTGTAGTCTTTCACGACTGGCTTCTTAGGAGGTGTAGGCCAGTAATGTCGATTAGTAGGTCTGATGTACTTCCAGAGATCCATGGCTTTGGCTTTGCCTCTGAACTCTGCTGACCATTCTTCCCAGTACTTGCCAGAGGCTAGGAAGATTGTGTTGGCGTATTTGTTTGACATTGTGATTTTCTCGAAGGGAGGCCGTGACATGCCTAAATGAAGTTCTGTGAAAAAACAATGATGCCAGAGGCAGTGAGACTCTTAATTGTCGAATATCACGTGTGTCCAATCGAGTAGTCAGCAGTGCGTAAGATTGTATATAAATGAGGTGTGTTCTTGTCTGTCTGTCTTCTTGTCAGGGTACGGCCTGGACCGAAGGCGATAGTACAGAGTGAAGGGGAGAAATAGGCGTACCCCTACCTGCCATCACCAAGTGACCACCAGTGAACACCAGGTGACCACCAGGGGGACACGCCTATTTCTCCCCTTCACTCTGTACTATCGCCTTCGGTCCAGGCCGTACCCTGACAAGAAGACAGACAGACAAGAACACACCTCATTTATATACAATCTTACGCACTGCTGACTACTCGATTGGACACACGTGATATTCGACAATAATATCGGGGTCTGACGTATGGAGTATAGGGCTCTGGGTAACTGAAGTATTCAAGTAGGGTAACTGGTAATAGAGTCGTCAAGGCAGTTTGCCTCACCAATGGGTTAGATTGATGCTTAGATTGATCACTGAAGTAGAGACTGTCTATCTATGAAATGCCTGGGAGTCCTGTCCCTTATATACCCATCTCTCCATCACTGGTCCCCACTTGGATATGTTCTGTGCCAACATATCGATTGATTGATTGATTGAAATTTAACGTCTCATCACGTTAGACGTGCCGGGCGCAGTGCCGGCATGGTCTATGCTAGTCGAATCTATGTTACAGGGGACTGTCTTCATCTAACATTCCTGTTCAGTGCGATGGGCAGATCTCAGTAAAGAAATTGGTCTCCTCCGCCCATTGACAAAACAAACGAGCTCCCTTGGCCGTGCCTAGGAGGGAATCTATACTATTCTTGGCCATATGCGCTTTTAGATGACCGGGCGTGGCCTTGCGGCCGCGCTTGCAAAAGTAGAAGTGGACTGGTGTCTTTGTCTTTCCACACCCGCAGTTGAGCAGTGCGTCGCGATGCTGGAGTCTCTCGTGGTAGGTCACGAAATCCCCGTGGTGCGACCTCGCTGCGAGTAATCTGCCTAGGTGTTGCCGGGGCAGGCCAAGTTCGGGGGGTCGCGGGTGGATAGCGATCCCTAGATCTCGATACTGTTGAGGGCAGGTAGTGGCCCATCGATCGTTGAAACTCTTCCAAGTGTAGGATCTCGCGATTCTCTTTATATGTGCGAATGAGGCCGGGTGTTGTGTCTTGGGTGGTTGCTCACAGGCCGCTTTGGCCTGGACATCTGCTTCTTCGTGCCAACATATCCTGTTGGTTTGATATGTAGTTGACCAACATATCCACCCTTGTAAGTCACGTGACCTGGTCGGTTCTTTCCTTTCTCCGATGCGGGGTCCCGTGATCCTAATGCTTGTATCCACCTGGCCTGCCAACGGGCCTGTAATGTTGGTCTAGGGCCAACGGTTCGTAACACTTTCTTGGTACCCAGCCGCACCTATCTTTACACTTCGTACGTAAGCGTTCGAGGAGGGTGTAGAAGTCTCGGATCTTATTCGAATCGGATACTCTAACTCGGCTAGTATCTACGACGCGCCTGATTTTAGTATGTATTTATAGATAGCGGCTAACGAAGTGATCCACCTAGTATTAGCCGAGTATATTGTTATCCCCTTAAGTAAGGAGGATTTCGGTAGTAAAATCGGCTATATAACGCTTACTAGGAGCCCGTCCGTGTAGTTCTTCGTATAGGATCTCGTTCACGATAACCTCTTCTTACTCTGAAGTCAAATTTCGTTACCCGGAGGCCGCGTCGCGATACGAATTACCGTGACGAATACGGTAGGACAGTATAGTCCCCTTGATACCGTACCGATGAGCTGCTACGGCCTGGGAAGAGCCCTGACAGATAAGCTCTTTGGCGCGTTCGATTCGCTACTCAAAATCGTCCAGACTATTCTCCACTGGATTAGCCATTTTGTACGTAGCTAGGGAGCAATTGCGAGGTAAATTAAGAGACGTCGTATTATTAAGGCGTAGAATTTCCCTGCAAAATAGGGATGCATGCAAAAAGGTAGTCAATGCGGTTAGAGTGTGTTAACTACTGAAACGGGGTCAGGCGGTCAGTAGGATATACCTACCACCTAACACACTGAACAGACGGCTCCAGTACCAACAGATCCCATCTGTTGGTCGGATGTGCCTCTGAGACTCTCGTCAGAATGATTCTCAGAACAAGACGTCTGGCTCTGGAAGTCGAATTGAAGCTCTCACTAGCACTAGATTGCTCTGATCAGAGCAAGATACAATCCTCTGTCATTGTCAAGGCTAGGATGAGGGCAGAATAATAGGATTTCGAAAGTAGTGTCTGAGTGGACGTAGGAATGAACCGCATAATTGAAGGGCTAGCTAACTAGAATAGAAAACAAAAGTCAAGTTGATTGAATAAGATGATGAAAAGAGATGACGAGTTGTTGAAAGTCGTCTGTCACTACCGTGTTCCTTAAGTGAGGGAGACAGGGGAGTCCTCCCTAGCCCCCGTCACCTACTTTCCTGACGTCCGGCCTGGCCCCACTACATTCCTCCCTCAGGTTCGTCTTTCTGTCCCCAGAGACAGCCGAACCTGCATGCTTACAAAAATTCCCCTTCACCCAGCGATCGCAGCGTCGGGCTTCGCCCTCTTTTCACCGTAGTCACAGCTCGCTTGTCCGCTTGGGGTTGTGACGTCCCCTTGGCAGCTCACTCGTTGTCAGCCAACTGGGCCTCATAGGCGTCCCAGCCTTTCCATCCATTCGGGAAGCAAGGCAAAGGCCTTCCTCCCATTGTGACCGCAGTGTCCCCTTCCCACCGTACATAGGTGTTCCATTGCCCTCTGATCAGAGCATCCTTGCGCTGCGTTCCCACAGGCGGCCTTGCAATGTCACTCAAGCTGAGGACAGCCGGCTCTCGAATGATCGCAGGCGGGTTTCTGGCCTCTTCGTCCAATTGTATGGCGATGAGAACGAGGTCCCTTGCCGCTCTTGTACTAAGCGCCTGGTTGGCTCTGAAACTGGTGACCATTGTGGCATGTGGCCCATGTTCGGCTGTCGATCGATCCCCGGGGCCTTCGGCAATGCGTGTGGTAACTGCGTAGCCATGGTCGAGGGTGAGAAGTGTACTTTTCGTGATGAAAAGTATGACCATCTCCGCGCCTCTTCAAAGAGGGATCATCCTCTTGTGAGCGACCTCTCTGCTTCCAATTCCCCCACAGTCATGCTCTTTAACCTGGATGCATTCAAACGACTCTCCAGTCGGTACAAAGAACATATCGCCCAGGTTGGTGGCAATGAAGGAGGGGCTCAGAGAGCCAAAGGAAATTCTGGTGGGCAGGGCAAGGGGTTCTGGGGATAAAGCATGTGTTAGTTAGACGTAATGCACTTGCAACGCTGAATCATTCGCGCATATCAACATATTTCCTCCTACTACACGTATAAGTGCTGAAAGTAAGAAAATTCTGTGACTGAAAACGTCTATGAAATGAAACACAAGGACAACATAAGGAAATAGTACGTCTGATCAGACCAAAAGTCCATCACTGTTGACTTTACTGTACCCATCCATCTTCTTATTCGGAATCCTGACCTCGACATTGGTCACGGGCTGTCTGTCGGCTTCAACAAGCCAATCCTCTTGTTTCTCGACTGGTAACTCTTCCACGTCCTTGTAAGTAGATCCCTCACATCCATTCTCGTCTTCTTCACCTAGCCCGTACGCTAGCCAGTTGTCCTCTTTCTCGTCAAGAGGCATCCAAAATCCCCTCTCGTCTTTTCGAAAACGTTTAAGACGGTCTGGAGCGTAGGTGCCTTGAAGTACTGTGCCGTCGATTTCCGTCAGCTAGCAAGTGGAGAGCGGTGATACACTGTGAACAATGTATGGGCCGCGCCATCGGTACGTAAGTTTCACGCTTCTAGACAGGTCGATGTGTCTCATTTTATTCCTGTCTCTCTGATCAGACTTCAGGGCAGCAATTCTCCTCGATTCCGCCAGTCTGCTTGTAGCGAGTTTGACATCTTCCTCGTGTCGTTCAAGTATTCGGATTCTTTTTGAAATCAGGTCGTCCCTTGGCGTGTTAGGCTCCCAGCTCATAATCCTCCACGTCGGGATCGTTGTTTCAATCGGTAGCACAGGGTGGAATCCGAAGGCCATATAGAAAGGGGACAACCCAGTCGGGTTTCGAACAGTGGCCCTATCTGCAAAGACGGCTGTAGTTAGGTGTTTCGACCATCTCGTCCCAGCTCCATCAGTATGTTTCATCAATGCTTTAGTGATTGGTCGATGTCCCACCTCAATGAGTCCTTGTGACTGCGGGTGATACGCTGATCCGATCCTAAGTTTAGATCCAAGGCTTCTGAGCAGTTCAGTGACAAGCCCTCGGTTTTCCGAGCCTCCGTCTGCTCTGATCAGATAGGGGACACCAAAGGTGAGGATGATGCTTTCCCATATCCAGTCTCGAATTGCTCTTGCAACAAGATAACCACTCAGCTCACAACGAGCCTCCGCAATTGCGATGTAGCCATTATCGGTTGGCATGAATTGAACGTCCATTACCCATATAGCAAAGATCTCATTTGGTTGAGAGAAACGATGGCTTTCTACCTCCCTTATATAGGAAGCCTTTTGGCAAGGTGCGCAGGAAGCAAGTGCCTTCTTGATATAGGCGTACATCCCATGCCAGAAATACTGTCTTGCCGCGACTTGGTAAGTAGCGTCTCGTCCACGATGACCCAGTTCTTGATGAAGCGCTTTGATAATGGTCCTCTGGTGTTCAGGGTCGTCGACCACTCGCCGGCGTCCTCAGCTGCCTTTTGCTCGCTTCCAGAGTGTCCTTTCCTGAACCAAGTAGTCAAAGGCTCTATGTTTGAAGCGCTTCTTTGCCTGTCTTGACCCGTGCTTCAGTCGATCATGTATACGGAGCGTTGTGAGGTATTCTGCAATCTCAATTGAGTCTTCAGTCCAGTTGCCGAGGAGGGGGAGTTCAGCATCAGTGGTAATAGGGGCCGCTTGTGCTGTATTATGGATTCTGACACCGATCTGATTCAGTTGGATGTCAATAAAGTCGTCTACTTCTCCCTCCCATTGGTCATCCAACTGATCAGACGAACCAGAAGGCTTGCGCGAGAGTCCATCCGCGATAGTGTGCTTCTTTCCAGGGATGTGTCTGATCTCGAAATCGAAATTTTTGATCCATGCGATCCACCTTATAAGTAGAGATCCAGGGAGATCCGAGGCAGCGTCGTTAATTTGAGCAACAAGGACTTTGGCATCGGTTTCAAGGATAAAATGAACCCCGTAGACATTATTTCGTAGTCGCCGTAATGCCTTCAAGACGCCCCTACACTCGCGTTTTGTGGCATCATAGGTCAACTCTGCCCCTTTCCAAACGCCGCTTTCGTATCTCGCAGGTCTCTCAACTCCGTCAATCAGTTGGCCTAATTGAGCGCCCCATCCTTTGCCGCTTGAATCAACTTTCAGGACAATCATCCCTGCCCCCTCAGAGTAATCCAAAGTTATCAAGACCGGGGCAGTGGTAAGTTTTTCCTTCAGCGTCTCCATAGAAAGCTTCTGATCAGAGCTCCAGTGAAAGGGAATATTCTTCCTGAGGAGCTTCGTGAGCGGCAGTGTAATGTGGGCGTACAGCTCGATCGATATACTGTAGTACACCGTGATCCCTAGAAAGGCGCGGACCTCTGAAACGTCGTTACATCTCTCCCACTCAATGATCTTGATGACCTTGGCCTGATCAGGGGACCTTCCATTGGTTCCGCACACGTACCCTACAATTTTGACAGAGTCCTGGCACCAAATAGTTTTCTCTCCGGAGATAGTTGCTCCCGCCAGTTCGCAGTTAACTAGCACCTTGTCGATGTTAATCAGATGCTCAAGAACCCAGCGACGAATTCCAGGGTAGGCTTCTGTGTGGTCGTGATATGACTTTGGTCCTTTCACTCCAATATCATCCAGGAAGTTCCTCGCTACATTGGGGATAAGATCAAAGAGCATTCGAGCCAGCTGTCGGCAGAAGTGTGCTACAGAATTTGTTGCCCCTTGAGGTAGCCTGGTCGTTCTGTACAGGCCAATGGGAGTCATGAACGAGGTGAAATTGCGGCTCCGTTCGTCAAGGACAGACTGCTCATAACCTGAGAAAAAGTCCATCAAGGTGACTATCTTACACATCGCGAATTCGGAAGCAAATTCGTCAACGTTTTGTGGCATAAACGCATCTCGGATCGTCACTGCGTTCAGCTTCGTAGCTGAGTTGATCAGGCGCAGTCCACCATCCTTCTTCTTCACAAGGAACCAGGCGTTGCGATAGGGCGCATGGGATTCTTCAAGAAGACCCTTCTCAATCCTGATCCTCAGCATTTCAATGACTTTCTCCGTTAATGCTGCTGGAAAAGGGATGCTTTTTGCTTGCCAGGCTTTATGCGGTACATTCCGAATCACATAATCTGGGCTGATAGAAGGCTTGATTTGACCGATTTCCGAGAAATCCCATGAGATAGCTGCCTCTCTTCTGGTGAGAATTTCCTTGAAGATCTTAGTCTCTTGGTTATTGAGCATGCTTTTGATCTGATCAGAGATCTTCTCCCATCGTGTGGGTGTCAATTGGGTTCCCTGAGGAATTTTCGACCACTTTGGTGTGATCTGTGAAAGTGGTCCGTCTTCATCTTTGGGCCAGATCGTGGATTGTGTTTGTTTCTACTCCTCTTGCTTCCAGTTCAAACTGCCTGGTGGGACAGATTGGTCTTCAGGATCCCCATCAACAGGGTGGACCTTCACCCCTTTTGGCTTGTACAACGTGTTAATTCCAGCAGTGATCTCATCCTTCATCTGATCATCAGGCACTTGTCTTAAGAGCCGTCTTAGTAGCTTCCGAACCCTCTTAGTTGATGGGTTTGCGATAATAGTTTCGTCCGGGTCTAAGTTGAGGAGTTGTGAGGTCGAGATACCGGGGTCCTGATTAGTTTCGTCAAAGTGAAGGACTGACGCCTGATTGGAGTTCGTATTTGATTCGGTCGGCCTCTAATCAGACTGATCGTGTTTCGTTTTAGGCCTCAGAAGGCCGGCAACGCGGCCAAGGCTACCGGCTGTCCGTTTTCCGGAATATCCATGACATCCTTCAGGGCGCGCTTTGAATCTTCCACAGTTCCCAGAGGTACAACGATTTTCGTTGAGCCAAAAATCAGGTTGCCAATAATAGTGGAATGCTCAAAAGCGAAATACATCCTTGCTCTTATGATGAAATTCATGCCTAGTAGAAGAGGCTGAGAGGCAAGTTCATCATCAATGACGTACAAGGGGACCTTGATACACCTTCCTGCTAGCCATATCAGAGCCTCAACGACTCCTCGGAACATTGTTCGTTCTTCAAGGCTACTAGTAAAGCTTCGAATAGTGACTTTCGTTGCCCTCATCACGAGTTTGTGCTTGTAGACATAGGAGAGACAGATAACACTGGTCTCAGCTCCAGTGTCAACAATTCCAGTGATAGGGGGTCTCTTTACCGGTTGGTCTGATTCTTACTGCTATTCGGAGTAGAGGTGCAATGTAATCCGTCACCTTCCCCAAGTTTGCTGCTTCGGTACTCGACTGATCAGATGTAGCCACATTAACTTGTGCTAGCGCATTATGGGTGTTGACGCCTGGTGGTTCTGGGGCCTGCGCTTCCTCCCTGGCGAGATAGACAACTTCATCCCAGGATTTAGGATTGGTCGCGCCCTTCGCAGCCGTGGCTCGCTTCAGTCCTTCGACGAATTCGGGGCAGAACTTGCAACAGTCCTCCCAAGTGATCTTGAAGTTTGTCTTCAAATTCTCGCTGACTTTGTCGGTCCAGAATTCCACAGCAGTTGAATTCAGAGTCCCTTCAGTAGTGCCTCTTTCAGTAGCGGAAGGCTTAATAGGCTCTGAAATTGACTCAGTTGGCGAGGAATCATCCGTAGCAGTCTGATCAGATGAATTGCTTGACGTATTGCCTGGCGTATGTTCAGCTTCAGGGTCCTCAGAAAAGAACGCTCTTTTAGCTCTCTTCGTATGCCTAGGTAGCAGCCCAGTTCCTCGACGTTTTTCCGCGAGTGCAACCTCGGTTTCACCAACGTCTCCTAGTTCCTCGATGATTGATCCGGTAAGGATTTCCGTGACAGGTCTGTCAACTGATCGGGCCAAAGGTTCCCATGCGTAGTCTCTCACGGGCTTTTCGAGAAAGAATTCTTCTCCTTCAGGACCGAGTATCGAATTCACGTTCACACCCGCTGATGGTACTGCAGCTGGAGTGGGAGGTCGAGCCAGGGAAGGCTGGGGCTGATAACGATTCTGAGATGGAGGAGTGGCGCCCATAGTAGGTCCACTTGACGCATGGTTGTAATCCCGCCTGAGGTAGTAAGTCGCAAGTTCTTTCAGTTTTGGATCAAGGTTATTCGATATAACCCAGTCGCACACTTCCTTTAGAATAGGCTTGCCTTCTCCTTTGGCTTTTCTCTCAATCGAGGTTGGTACCTGGATTGTGGTCTTTCGCTCATAATCGCCGCCGAGAAAGTAAGCTCTGTGCATAGGATCCCATCGAAGAAAGCCGTCACGATTCAAGTCCTTCAGCCGAGTACATCGTGAAACAAGATGACCAGGCGTAGCGCAGAAGAAACAGTTCCCAGTTGTAGACCCCCAGCGATTTGGATGTGTACGATACTGTCCAGTCTTGTGGTCGTACAATGTGCCCTGAGTGTTTTCTTGAGCCCTAACAGCATTTACTTGAGCCTGGTGGTGATGATTGCTGTGCTGGGCTTCGTTTTGCAACGCAGGTGGCTGATAACCCCAAGGCTGCTGCGGTTGATATGCAGTTCTTAACTCGTCCATCTGGTGTCTCTGATCAGACGGGACCTACTTGGTTTAATCGTATTTCTAAGGCTCGGATCTTCTCTGTGAGGGCATCCACATCTGGCTGACTGAACCGTGGAGCTCTCTGTTGCTGCGGTTCTTGGACAGTATGAGCAGTTGGTACCCATATTTCGGTGGCTCTCTCAGAAACGGCAGACGCAAAGTACTCAGGGCTTCTTCTTCCTCCCTGATCAGAGAACAAACTCCCCTCTCCTCGTTTCATGTGGTTGTCCAGGCTAATCTTAGTTTTCGCCCATCCTCGGACCAATTCCTGGGCTAAGCGGTACTCCATCTTAAAGATCCCTTCGTACGTCATTTTGGCTTTTCTTAAGATGTCCTCGAGGCTGTGGCTGTGGATTCCCTCAAACAAGCCTCGAGTGCAGTCAAGGTCGCTTGGGACTCGAGCAGTACCCTTCGTCTCACTAACTCGGATATTATGATCAAGACAGTACGTGTAGATTTTCGACGGGTTTGACCGCGGGGGCTGGTTTTCGAGCTCTTTGAGGCTATCATAAGCGCTTCTGAGTTGTCTGGGGTCTCTGATTGCGAAGGTATTTTTCAGAGCCGTTACCCCGGCGCTCCAACTGTCAAGTTGATCGATCGCAGCCTCCACCCTTTTCTGGTGCGTCTTGTCCTTGGTCCAGTATTGGATTTCGGCAATTCTTTGAGCATCACTGAGTCCAGCCCTGTCGAAAATACGAGCGACTTGTTCGATCCAGTCGGATACGCCATCACCGTCAAAACGGAGGTGTGGGTACTGCGCCACATCAGGAATAGTACATGGTATAGCAAAGGTTTGAGCCATCTGGATCGATTTCTCGGCGATCTTAGCGGGAATGGTCTGATCAGACCTAGGTGAACAACCAAATTCACAATCGAGGACGTCGTCGTTTGATACGGTTGTTACCGTTTCACTCGTTGTTGATGTGATAGTCGGCTTTTCTGTGTTGGCTATCGGGATTGAGAGTCTTGTGATGCTCTCTTTCTGCTTATCATATCCCTGTTCTTCAGACATGTAAGCGTTTTTAAATAGGATTTGCGTCGTTTGCTGTGCGATCCCTTTCTTAGTTTCGAAGAACTGTTCCCTCTTAGGAACTATTCTTCCAGGTGTCCTGTTCCAATAGTCGTGTCTTTGTGTCTGAGCCTCTCTGTTTCTTCAGAAAAAGAATGCCGAAGCCATGGTGTCCGGGCCCAATCCCGTACTACTCTTGCTTCCATTTCCTTCTTCTTATATTCCTCGGTCCTGTGCCGTTCGTTGTCTCTCTCGGTCTCGGTTTCTTTTCTTACATCATATCTCTGTATCTTCTTATCTTCCAGATATAAGTTCAAAAGCTCCATGCCAAGTCTCAATATCTTGATTGAAGCCAAACTTAGTTTCCAAAGTTCACGGCCAATTTCGGCTGTTACTTTCCAGACCTCATCGTTCCTGAAAACCCATATGAAGTGCCGAATAGATTCCATCCATGGCCTGTTGATAATACCATCGCAGCTTCGAGGTCCCAAGCCCATCGGTCTGATCACTGCAGCATTGCTTCGGCAGGCTCGGAAGCTTGTACTTCCTCTTCGAATTCCCATATTTTCTGTCCTTATCGTTGTCTCATAGCCAGAAACTTTGGGGTCCCGCTCTTCTAAGTTTTGCTGTCTTGACTCCATTCCCGAAGCTTCCGTTTCTTCCGTGTCCTCAGTGGAAGCCTTTGGGGGTCTTCATCATTCCCTCTTCGCGACTAATCGATTGTCTTCAATAATCGCGATTTGGAAAAGAGATCCTGAAGAGTGCAGTCCGCTGAGCGAGAGATTCAGTGCCGTGAAGCCTCCGAATTGTGTAGCCTCCCTCTGATCACCATTGAAACGGGGTCAGGCGGTCAGTAGGATATACCTACCACCTAACACACTGAACAGACGGCTCCAGTACCAACAGATCCCATCTGTTGGTCGGATGTGCCTCTGAGACTCTCGTCAGAATGATTCTCAGAACAAGACGTCTGGCTCTGGAAGTCGAATTGAAGCTCTCACTAGCACTAGATTGCTCTGATCAGAGCAAGATACAATCCTCTGTCATTGTCAAGGCTAGGATGAGGGCAGAATAATAGGATTTCGAAAGTAGTGTCTGAGTGGACGTAGGAATGAACCGCATAATTGAAGGGCTAGCTAACTAGAATAGAAAACAAAAGTCAAGTTGATTGAATAAGATGATGAAAAGAGATGACGAGTTGTTGAAAGTCGTCTGTCACTACCGTGTTCCTTAAGTGAGGGAGACAGGGGAGTCCTCCCTAGCCCCCGTCACCTACTTTCCTGACGTCCGGCCTGGCCCCACTACACTACTATACGATCGGCTAATAACAGCGGTCTGCGTATAGCTATTTCAAATAAAAGAGATAGCGCGCTAAACTCGCTACTTAGAATCTACCGTAATCTTATACGTAGTTAAGAAATAGAAGGGTGAAGTTAAGTGGTAGGTTATGTTTACGTTGTAATTTCCCCTATAAATAGGGGGTTTTATGCAAAAGGTAGCCAATGCGGTTAGATGAGAACGCCGCGACCTTTTTACTACTAAGTCGTAGATCCAAACTCAGTAGCATCGGTTGGATCGACTTTTGTATAACTAATTCACATGGGTGCGTTGAACGGTCCCACTTGCCATTGAATGTTGAACTAAACCTGGCGTATTTTCCCCTGTGTCCTCCCCTCCACTGCCATTCTTCACTCTTTCCACTTCTCTTTCTCACGGTTCTCCCCAGATCTCATCCGCGACCTGCCTGACCAGTTTCAACTTGTTTTTCTCGTCTTCAAGGGTTAACGGGTATCCGCTCTCGTGCGTGCTGAAGCCACATTGGGGGCTGATGCAGACCCTCTTTAACGCCTCCTCACGAGTCTGGGAGCTTCCCTCGGCAATAGCGTCGGCCGCCTTATAGATTCTTTCCTTCGTGGCCTCCTTATCCTCAAGCTCCGCGACCTTGGTACTGATGACGCCAACAACCACATTTTTGTTCTTTGGCAGGTACTTCAGGGGCTCGAAGCCTCCGGACCGCTCAGTGTCGTACTCGAGGTAGAATGTGTTGACGTTGAGGTTCTCAAACAGCTTCTTGGCAATAATATCATATGCTCCTTCGGCAAAGTGTCGGCCACCGATGAAGTTTCCTCGGCAGAGATGGATGCCAGTGTGGAAGTCGGCGGGAAGCTTGCTGAGGGCATCATTATATAGCTTGATGTAAGCATCCAGTAGATCTTCAACGGTGCCAATATTGTCCTTGTCCTCTTCCCATCCCTGTCGGAACTTTTGAGAGCAGAAATCTGTGGTTTTGATGTTAGATCAGGTCTTGGATGAGGTTCAGAATACTCACAAGCCATGCCGGGGTCGTCAAACTGTACGTTCCTCAGACCTAGTTTGTATAGCTGGTCGAGTTCGGCTTGGTAAACCTTGGCGACATCGGCGAAATATTCTGCATCATTTGCATATGCATCCTGGGTGTATGCTCGCCCTTGCTTGTATCTCATGTGAAACCAAGCCGGCGTGATCATGGTGAGCTTGATGTTACCCCATTCGCTTTCAGGGACAAAAGATTGCGCAAGCTTCAGCTCGTGGAGGTTTGATACCGACTTCTCCGGGTTGTGGGACAGCTTGCTGCCGGCAATGACAGAGTCCCCCGGCATGACCTTGCGGTCCTTCTCGATGAGACTCACCACATCTGGGTGGTACAGTCGGAACATGCCGGCCTCTGCATCCTGCAACTTGGAGGTACCCTCGAACTCGTCCCACATGAGGCCCCAGAAACGTGTGCGAACAAATTCACCATCGGTGACAGCCTTGAGACCGAGCTCCTGCTGCAACTTGATAACATCGCCAACGGCCTCCTTCTCAACCGCAGGCAGTCCAGCCTCTTCGGCTGAGAGACCATTCTCCCGAATGTTGGTGCGTACTGCCAAGAGTTTCTCAGGACGCAAGAGCGAGCCCATGTGCTCAGCCCTGAAGGGCGGGGCACTGTGAAGTTGACCAGCCATCCTTGCCGTCGTTTGATGATTGATAGTCCACAAACGTGATTTAGTGGGTTCGTATGGGGGGTAATGAAGTCACAGACAAGGAGAGAATTGTGTTAAATGGTCATCAAGGTGTGTGGGATTGATTGTGTTAACTCTGGGAAGGAAAATCATCGTTCGTTTTGCAGTGGTGCGGGGAACCTCTTCCCCGTAGCGCTGTATCATCGGCCCGGCTATTATCGACGATATCTCACTGCAGCATCGGCAGATTTAACAGCCTCCGCGTAACTGTGGAGAACCTGAAGATAATAGTGGATTTGTGGAATCAATCGTGCCTCGTCGTGAATTAGTGGTGTTTATGGGTTTCACGGGCTGTATACTCCTTTACTCCCAGGCCTTGGATAAGTTAGCAAGTGGAGAGAAGAATTGCCGCAAGTACAAGACTTGCATAAAAACAGTTTTTCTTTTCTTCGAATCTCCTTGCTTATACTGTCCTATGCAAACCAATGGCTTATGAAGACAGTAGGTAAAACCCAAAGTATAGCGGTGCTTATGATGGTGCACATGAGCATCTCACTTGTGGCCTTTCGATGATGTAGGTATCATGCTGTCAATCTTATATGATTTCCACTCTTGATTTCGTGAATGTGAACCTACACTCTTGTAAATATGCATTGTGGAGGGTTATTGAACCATGTATTTAAGCAAGCACTCATCGAGTTTATGGATTTCCTCTAGATTAAACTTATATAATCTTCAACAGTCGATGGCGTCACTCTTCCCACGGTATGGCTCTCACAGTCGCCTAAATTTCCTAGTTATAATAGGAGACGATGAAATGGATCTGCTGGTGGTACGTCAACTACCTAAAAAGGTGCTCATGGATATCATGTACACATCATATTGAACGCGTCGCGGATATTCATCGTTCTCATCAACTCGGCTCTTTCCAGCCAACATTACCAACATGGATATTCACCGTACGGACCCTGGCCGTGGATGAAAAGGGCTTCACAACACGCGTTCCTGGTTTTTGGCTACTGTGCCTTGTGTCACTCGAAATGCCAAGAAAGATGAGGTGAAAGCACGACCCGACGTGCCCTACTTGCACTGATCTGGCTGCAGACCCAAACACTGGGCCTGCCTCTTTTCTGACTCAGCGTACGCCCTCAGCAGCTGAGAAGGTCTGCATTGGCCGTGAGGTTTCGTTACATTGTGTGCGTACAAGACTATCACACGGAAAGACATACACGAATGGATGAGAGACCTCACTGTCTAGTACAAGAGCATCGTATGCGGACACTTCAGTTGCCATATAAGGGACATGATACCTGATGAAAGCGCGGATGGGGTAATACAATAAACCATGTCCTCCAGACAGGTGACGAAAAGCTAGACGAATCTACCAGCTTGTGGCGATGGACAAACGCCGCTTTTCCCGACGAACGGGGACTGTCACTGCCAATGCCCTGCGTCAGGCTCTAGAGGTCCTCCGGTGGAAAGTATGGCGGTGCCTGCAAGACCCGCCTGCGTAATTTTCACCTATGTGATCGTTCGACCGCAACAAATGCACCTGTATGGCATACCCTGGCTCCGACGCTTCCAACGGGCAATTCAAAATCGAACGAGGAAGAGTCAAGTTCATAAAGCCTGACTGCTGTCGGGTTGGGGGCAGCGAGTCGGTGTTGTGGAGCAACCAGTCGACAAACAAGCATTACTGTCCCGTAAAGCACGAACTGCCTGTTTTTACAAAATTATGCGTTTCGGGTAGTTAGCAGTAAATCCAACTAAAAAGTCACTAACCTCACCTAAACTCACTATGATCTCCAGTTAGTCAACATCACCGGCGTTTACTTACTAATCTAATCACTAACAACTAAGGTGGGGTTAGTCCGACCCTTAGGGCTGTCAGCAAAAGAATGTATTTATTTGAAAAGAGCGTCGTGGATAGCTCCAAGAAATTCCAAAAATATGAGACTAGTGTCTTGACAGAAACCATCAGACTCCACATCGAACTCATCGCCAGCAATTGGAATGATTGAAACCCGTGAAATCAGAAGGCGTATTTGTATGTTTCTAGACCCTTACTTACCCACTTTACAAGACGCCAGGCAAGACTACACAGGGAGTAGAGGTTTCGCGAGAGCCGAACATGTGCCACAACTTGGCTCACAATGTCTGCTAATGTGGTAACGCACTGATCCTTAACAAGACCATCATCGTCAATGCGATTTTTGTTGGGTCTCAAAACGTAATCGCATGAAAAACCTTATCTCTCGATATGATAGCGACGGCACAACACAATCCTTGACTAGAAAGAGGGACAGCCAAATTAAACGAGGCTGGCATATAAATTCTGGAATAGCCAAAAACAATCCACCTACAAGTGGATTGGCCTGGTCGGGTTGCTGCGCAGTATTTCAGGAAGGAGCTAACCTGGAATGTCCGTTATGCGAGTTATACTGTGGCTTATCATTCGGCTGATCTTGGGAGACATTTGCGCTCACAATACGCGTGGTGGAAGATTACCGAACTTCAAGAAAGCCTGCGTAATCTAGACAGAGGTGACGGTAAGTGATGGCTCTGCGATTTCACAATCGGCGTCCGCCATTACAGTGGTCATATGCAGTCAAAACGGGCCGAGCAAGGATATACTGTCAACACCGGTAGGCTTCTCCGTTGATGCATCATGAGCCCTCAGTTTGCCGCACTTGCATGGTCAGTGTGTTTGTGCCGTTGAAGGTACCATGCTGCATTTCGGGTGTGACCCAGTTGGGGCGATTGGTGGTCATTGACCACAAACAAATACATGTGATTGTTTGCTCTCTATGAGAAATGGATGCGGCAGTTCCCCGACGCACCCATGATCAGATACGTATCTTTTGCTGGCAATGAAACCTGGGTGTGCAACAGCGTCAGTCACAAGGTGGTGCTACAGACATGTTGCTATTCATTCGGTAAACCCGAGAAATCGCTTCGCATTGCCGAACAGATCACGGGAAAGGGCCTCCTGACGATGGAATTCGACCATCATACAATCATCGTAAGATGCTGACTGGCTTGTTTTCCTTCACTAACATCCGGAAATTGGAGCCGGTCGTCAAGACCAAGGCACAAGAGACGAGCGTCGTGCTCACCCATGTCCTCAACACTCAAGGGGAATTACTGGAGTCATCTATGCTTGCGACAACTTCGCCAAGGCCACGCTCGACATCATGGGTATCACCGTGCTTGGTATCAACTTTAACAAATTTGCGCCCGATGCAACGGAAGGAAGAGGGGGAGGGGACCAAGTCTTATACCAAGTTTTACTTCGCATATCGCAACATGTTGACACAGGGTCTGTTGGTTAGAACTCTGATGTTTGTAAACCGGTCGTTTCTGGTGCGATGACTGCCGCTTCAGGCAAATCGCGACTTCGTGAACGCAGCATCTTTCGTCGAAAGGTACCTTGGGAGCCTTTCTGCGTCGGCGTCGCTCTGAGATCACAGACGCCATGAATGCTGGCAAATACCAAAAACAGGAATCGCAGAATCTCTTGACGTTCGTTGCGGAGTAGAGCATGCCTAGAGGTATGACTGAGGATATTACCGAGGATGAGTTCGTGGGCCATGTGCATTACCAATTAGCATTGCCTGCAGTGATGGCCATGCCACAAACTTTCCTCAAGTTCTTTGACTAATGCGATTTCCCCCGTCAAATCTTCTACAGTTCATGATTGCCAGACATGAAACATCCGCTAATATGCTATCATGGAGTCTGTATATCATGGCCACGAAACCTGAAATACAGGACAATACAGGACGCGCTGCGCAGAGGGATTCTAGCTCTCGTAGTCGATTATCCAGATCCAGACCTCAGTTCTATTGACAAGTTGACGTATCTCGAAAACTTCATCAAAGAGGCAATACGCATCTATTCTCCCTGTTGGTACCATCAAATCTAAAATTCCTCGTCTCTAACTCTGTCTAGCTGTCACAGTCCACCGCGAAGCCGTCGTTGATCTGGATATTGAAGGAAACCATGTCCGCAAAGGGAGCAACTCTCCGAGTCCATATATTCCTTGCTTGTCTTCTCTTATGGGTGACAAAATAACAAGCAGTCCCGCTTAAAAAAATGACTTTGGCCTCATGAACGATATACGCAGTCACTGACGCTGAGGGGCAAACAGGGAACCGCATTTGACATTGCCCCTTGTACCTCCATGCTCAACCCACTGACCTGGGGACCCGATGTCGACAAGGTGGATCCAAGGCGCTGGGAACACATGGACGAACATTTCCCACCCTACGCATACAACGCTTTCTCCAATGGTCCCAAAATATGCATTGGTAGATCGCTGGCGTTCAAGATGAAGATAAACTGGGTCGAGATCGTGCGAAACTTCAGATTCTTGAGCGTGGAGAAATCTTTCACGTTTGAGAATCCCAGCTTCGTCCTGCGGCCAAATACCATGGAGATCTGCTTCGAGAAGCTTGCGGCTTGATGGCCGTGGAGTGGATGATGGCTGTCGATGATGTGAAGCTGGACAGGCCGAGGTAAAATGAGTATGTCTATGCATTGGGATCAAGCTTGATTGGGATTAGGGAGACAAGCATGTAGCTCACGACCTAAAAATGCGAGTGTGATAGTGCTGCATGCATCAAGCACGTCGTCGTCTTTATAACCAAGTACTCCAATCGCTGCAAGCCTAGTGCACCCACCAACTACGGGGAGGAGTGGTCTGCTATATTTTAGGAGTAATCCTCGTCTCTTCGACTGAACACAAGACTGGTAAACTAGAATCTGTACATGTATCATACTTCGGCAGCTCTTGCTGATACTAACATTCTATAGCATATAAGATCTAAAGCTTATATATACGCGTGGTAACGATCGACCATATATCGCAACTAGGTATTCCCAATAACTGCCATGCCAATGGGCCTAAACACCATGTCAGCTCGTAGGGCGACCCAATCACAATCTGATCGAACAAGGCCCAGTCGAGGCCCCGACTCGTAAAATTATGTCCAGCATTCGTCGATCAGCGCCTTAGTCAGATCGACTGGCCGTCAAGCACTGCGCACTCTATTTGAATTGAAAAAAAAACAAATATATGTATGCCTCAAAGAAACGTGACTGCCATGGCCAGCAAACAGATAACAGGGGTGAAAGCTGTCCCTGATATCGTCATGGCACCACTGATGATGACATTCGACGGAACAGCAGTCATGCTGCTGACGGCTGAGCCAGTGGTGCTCGCGAGGTAGGTGGCCGTCAGCACCCATGTGGAACCGGCAGATTCGGAGGCAACCAGCAAAGTCGGTTGACCACTTACCGCCGTGGGTATAACTTCGGTGCCAGTACTGACGGGGGTTGCCACTGAGGCCAAGTCGGTTGATACACCAGTCCCCGTCCCAGTACCCGTCCCAGTCCCAGTCCCAGTCCCAGTCGTTGTTGCAATCCCAGTCGTCGTTGCAGTCCCAGTTCCAGTCGCCTGAGCTTCCGTAGTTTTCTCAGGGGTCCCCACAGCTCCGTCGGCCGTGTGCGTACGAGTGACATGAGTAGGATATGTTGTGGCTTCCAAAGTAGCTTCATCGGTTGTGGTGGTGGCTGTTGCGATGCGCGTCGCAGTCATCGTCTTGACCACAGGACAGAAGAATTCCAAGCCCTTAAAACCACCGTTCGGAGCTTCACAAGAACCGTCATCTCCACTCGTGGCAGCACCAGGCTCATACGACGTGGTCAAATTTATACATCCCAGGTCGCTGTAGACGTTGAAGGTTGCGGGAGCCCCGCTGTCGCACACCGGGCGCTCGTTCACAATGAAAGATCCATAGGAGCCGGGAAAGATGGACACCGAGTCGGCTCTGGCGCAGTGGTTGATTCCTAGAGTGAAGGGGACGTTGAAAACCGGGGTGGAGCAAGTAGCGCCGGTGAAGAGAGTGATGTTGCCGGTTTGAGCGGTGGCTTTGACCTTGGCCTGAGCAGACTGCACAAGTGTCACGAGGGCGCCGAAAAGGACTGAACTAGCTGGGAGCTTCATGCTCCCAGATGTGTGAGGAAAAGAGCGACAATCTCAAGATTCTAAAAAAAACAATGGTAAAAGGAATGAGTTGCACCGCGATTATGGGAATGATGAAGCGGGGAGAACAACATTTTTGAAACATGGAGAATCTCCTGAGATTAGGCTGATAATCAGTGGGGCGCCTGGGAAAATGGTTAATCCCTGCATATCTTCAATTTTAGTACCTCCTATGCATCGGCGCGTCGTGATCAAGTTTAGAAATGGCAGCCGCGTCGCCCAATTGTGAGGAGCTCGGAGATATCGGTCTCTTGGTAATGCACAAGTTATGCACTGATAGTACTTTTCGGATACTTTGGAAGGTGGCCTACAGGGATCATCGACGGGGCGGCTGCTTTCCATCCGTTCCTATCCAACTCCATTGATAATAATAGATAGAAGTCGCGTCCCTATTGCCATTGCAGGTCGAATCTCCGACGCGCAAAGAGCATGACCGGCACATCAAATTACCCTAGCTAGCAACAAGGTCTAGACCACATTCTCACAATCTGATGCCGTCACATTACATGCGATTGCAGATGCTTCAGAATGACTGACCTCCAGATTCATTATCACACTGGGCTTCGTGCGCATTCGGATTCACGCCCCGTGTATTGATATTGATGGAAGGGGCATCCCGCACTACGTCATCGCCCTCCATTGGCTATTTACCAACAAACGCCCTGTACACTTCGCTCATCCTAAGCTGTCTCCAACATTCAAGCATTCATTCCGACCCCCAAATCACGGAACAGAAATCAATCATGGCAGAAATTGCAGCTGGAGCCGTCGTGGCCGAGCAGGTCGCATCTACCGCAGCTTATGCCGGTGCAGCAGGTTACGCTTTAGCCAAGCCTACCAATGAGCTGAAGGTAAGCTTCACTCAGATTGCAGCTACGTCGCCAGACGCAACCAGGTACGCAATCATACCGACGTACCCTGTATTTTCAGAAAACTGACCCATACAGCACCTCGTTTGCCCGCTCTAACCACACTTTCACCGTCATGGGCTCCAAAGCCTACCTCTTTGGCGGCCAGACCAGCGAGGGCAAGCTAGCGAGCAACAGCATACACTCGTTCTCCCTGGCGAAGAATTCAGACTCGGACTACCATCTTGCTCCTGCGATACCTCTCGGTGATGGCGGTCGTGTGCCCGAGCCGAGAATGAACCACTCTGCATGCGCCTTCAACAGCTGCGTTGCCATCTATGGCGGCTGCGACGCGTCTGGTTACTTGATCGATGACCCCAGCATCTGGCTATACGAGACAGAGAAGTCGGTTTGGCACGCCATGCCGACAAATACAGCCGAAGGTCCAAATATGCGGTCAGGAGCCAAACTATTCTCGCACGGCAATAGGTTCATTTTATACGGAGGAAAGGGTGAAGGGGGCTCACATCTGTCTGAAGTCTGGCACTTTGATACCGTCACCAAGATGTGGAGTCAACTGCCCAGTGCCCCGGTCTCCACCTCGAATGCTGCCATGGGAGGTAGCACACTCTATCTCATTGCCGGTAACGACAATCTCAGCAGTAACTTTCACTACCTAAACACTGAACCAGGTACGGATCATGAGGCGCGGCAATGGGAAACCATTACCTTCCCTACGAATCCCTTGACGCCAGGACCCAAATCGCGTGAGAAGGGGGGCCTGTTGTACATCAACACTGGCTACGGTCGTCAGTACTTGTTGTACTTCTTCGGCGAACGCACCTCAGAAGTGACATCCGCTGAAGAGACACAGGGACCAACACATTGGACTGATATTTGGAGTTTCCAGCTGCCCTCGAGCGATCTCTCAGTGAAGGCTGCCAAGACCCTTTCCGAAGCCATTCAACCTGCGAAGATCAAGGACGCAATCCGTTCCAAGGTTGGCATCGACGGTTCCGGCACTCACACTTGGTCCGAGGTGGAGGTGAAGCCACCCGGTGATATACTGGCGCATGAGGGCAAAGTCCACCCCGGACCGAGAAGTGCGTTCGGCTGTGATGTGCTGGGAGATGGGCGCAGTGTCGTGCTTTGGGGGGGACACAATGCAAAGGGGGAGTGCGAGGGTGACGGTTGGATCATGCAGATAGAGTAGAAGGAGAGGGGGCCGTACCGCAATTGTCATGGAAGCAAATATAGTACAGATCAGCTTTGACAGGCGCCCGCAGGGCATAAGATAGTTACTCATATTTGTGCTATACGATTGGTGATGCGTCGACTTGTGAGGTTCTAGTTATTGAGGCCTAACGCTAAGTTGCTGTTGTCTACGGTCTGGCGGGTCTTATAAGTAACGTACCGTGTTCGCTACCGGGAGCTGCCTCCCTGTGTTAGAGCTAGTTAGCCGACTTTTAACATGTTGATCAACTATTTAGTCGCCTAAAAACAATCTGGGAAAACTCGAATGTATGTAAAAGTCTGCAATGAGCTGGCCTCACTAGCTAACGGCCAACCGAACGAAACCGCTTTTAGGAACGACATCGAAGATATCCCCTTGAAACCAACCCGGATGATGCACAGACTAAGCGTTTTGAGCCAACCAACCCTTCAGTGACCGACAGTCTCATCAACGAGAACAGAATTTCACAAGATCAAAGGGAAGTGAGTTCCACACTGTCATCTGTTCGCAAAAAACCCCATCAGACCTCCCAATACGCGTTGAAGCATGAGCCACGTGCTGAAACGGCTACCAGATCATTAATTCAGCAGACTGTCGAGACCCGCTCTCCCAGTCAGCAACGCTTTCGTACAAGCAAGTAGTAGAGGATGCCAAGAGGCTCAGTGAGCTGCCGATGGTGCGCATGTACCAGGTTGGTGGGAGCTTTATGGACTAGCGTAGAGGAGAACAACGTCCAACGATAATCTAGGTCAAGGTTGAAGGATTGGTCAATGGCGGACTCAACGAGAATCGCCCAAATGAAGTAGTATTCTGCACGGTCGGTGACATGGCCCGAGACCGCTCGATAGAGGACCGGACGAATTATATCAAGACCTAGTGAATAGTCTGAGATGAATTTGGACTCGAGGAGCAACTCTGGAACTTTGAAGAGCAGCGACAGGTCCGAGCTGGCTTTGTTGTGCCTTGATCGATCTATTCGATCCCCGGCCCAGTGAGTCCCACATCTGCCGAGTTTTTGCAGAAACGGTGCACTTTGGAAGAGGACAGGGCTTTTTGAGAGGCGCTGAAGCGTACTAAGCAGCAGAAGGGACAATATACTGAAGCATTGAGAGAAACCAAGGCGGGTTGGGAGACGAAAAAGAAGTCCAGACACGAGCGACCTCCAAAGCAATAGAATTAGACTTGGAAGGCAAGCAATGCCCACTCGCAGGAATAAACTATGAGAGCCCTAATAATGACCCTGTCAAGTGAATAATAAAGTAAGTGGCGCAATACAGGGAAGTAATATAGCATAGCTCAGTATCCTAGAGTAGTAAACTAATATAACGTAGTTATCCCACCTCTTATCCTACCCACGCCCTCCGTTTAATTTGTTTTATCTACGTGCCAGTCAATTTTATTACTAGAAGGCTATCGCGTTCAGAGTATTGGGGGCTGTATCGGTGCTACGAAGATGCGTGGGGGACCAAACCCAAGTAGGCCTCGAGGGGTCCTTAAATAGTACAATCCGCGCCTGCCTGCCTGCCTCCGTCCCATATCTACCGAGATAAAAAGTTGAAACTAGCGCTTTCTGAATGTCAGCTTGCTGTTTCCTATGTGTTCGTGCATTTTATATCAGTGGGGAATTAGATTTCGTCACTTCCATGGTTATGATGGTTCGCAGCTATGATGTCAGGAAGGCACCTTTACTGATTTATCTATCATTACCTTGAATATGCTAACATGCATGAATACTTTGTCCATTTGACAAAGAACAGCGGACCTTCTAGTACCAAGACAAGGAATCCTTCATCTTCCGTGCCTTTGTGTATAGGTCACAGTCCATTATCGACACTTGCCACTTCTTCGAGGGTCTGGGTTATGATGAAACAAATAAAACAACGTGGGCCCTTTCTTGGTGCCTGGAGTTGTTGTGCCGCTACTATACCCTTCTTCAGAGTGACAGCCAGATCTTCTACCCGAGACTTGGCTTGCTCTTTTCTTTTTCATATTTTCTATATTACTTATGTTCTCTACTTTCATTTTGAAAATGGCAGAGTCTACTCACCTTCTCGGCTCCAGGCGGTCTGGGCACGCCGCAATTAAGGCCGCGATTAAACTGCAGCTCAAAGTTATCATCCCGCCTTATCGAGGACCGGCCCCGATGTTTCAGTCTATCCGCAATAGTGGTGTCGACAGCAATAGAGTGTCTCCATTGTATGACTATAATAATGACGAGAATACGCCAGAGATCCTTTATTTATCTCGAATGTCCGAATACAGTACTACAGACACTGTGGAGGACAACTACAAATCGCGTCCCGAGTCTGAAGACCGTACTAGCAGCATCATTGTGTCGGCTTGTACGGATTACTCGGGTATATCCTTTGCTTACTGCGAATACTGTATGGAGAGAGGATTCGACCATGAGCCCGAGCATTTCCAGCGCATGATGTGGAGGAAATACATTGAATGTGAGACTTCGCTGGCCGTTCTCGACTTTTTGGTTGCCTTTCAGCTGCGATTACTCTTGGTCTTGGTGCCTGTAGTGCTGCTACTAGTTCTGTGGGTTTATATGGCCAGTATATAGGCGGCTAGTGCGATTGGAACCTATGATACCACTTATGAAATATTTAATACATGTGTAGATGGGACCTTGAATGCAATTGTCGGTCCAATTGTGCAAATTTTATTGCATTGAATTTGTGGTGACCTATGGAGATTTCCAAAGGAGTGAACTGTAACCATAAGGGTTTTATATTATAGGTAATGTCGGCTGGTGTAGTTGGTCACTTCGCTGGTAGATAAGTCCCGATTTGAGCCTCCCCCACTTGGGTCGGTGACGAGTCGCGGGTTCGAATCCTGCAGCTGACACACAAGGGGGTTTAGTCAACCCTTACGGCGCGCTGCCCACCTTGTTGACTTCGCCTACCTAGCGATAATAGGGAGATTGGTGCAGTTTAGGATTACGAGCATCCTAGCCAGTCGACCGTCAAGCACTACGTCGGCGGAATATAACTCGACAGCCGGTCCAGAATTCGAATCGTTAATCCGACCCCTTATCGGACCCTCTCTCGCCGCGATTCTTGCGAGCGTCTAGACCACGTTACGGTCTATCCACTTGAGCGTATGGTTGAGATGTATACGCTCGACAAGAACCCCAATTAGCAGATACTACGACTTGTCGCGACAAAAAAAATAGTCGAGCATCTTCTGCACATCAGCAGCATCCCACCCCTGAGGACGAATTTAAGTGCCACATTACCACACTTATCGGTAGTTCAGGCAGGGGTTGTAGCACAGACTTAGGGAGGGACAGGAGGTTTAGTAGTCGTTTGGCTACAAGTTTACCTGTATAACCGCCCGACGCGGCTTAAGGGCCCGCTATATCATCTATAGCCCCTTAAGGGAGTACTTGTAGAGGTACCGAGGGTTAACATCTACGGCGTATTTAATATTATTTTTTATTATAGGTAGAAATGAGCGATGTCTGTACCACAAGCAGATATTGTGTGGTACGATGGGTAGTGGTTGGTCACATTGGTGCATAACGTACGGTTGGTGGCATTATGTCTTCACAAGCTGGCAATTCCGTTGCAATAGCCTTAAAGGTCCTAAAACAATAGTGATAAATCCAAAGGCCTAGTACCTGCGAGATGATCTTGTGATCTTCCATGAACAAAAGCTTCCCCTGCATTAGTACCATCAACCCCAATGCTTTATTCCTTGCCTATACAAGTGGACATAGTCTCGGTACACCCGCTATAATATCATAGAGGATTGTGATGTTGATTGAGCTAAGTTCACCTCCGTCAGATGTAACGGTAGAATGTTACCTATCTAACTAGTGTACATTGTTACGGAGTAACTAGGGCTCCGCCAGTGGACTGTGTGCCACTAGTCCTCTGTTATAATACATCATTCATGCATGTGCCTATCCACTGTGGAATATTCGAATCCTACTTACCACTTGTACTCGTTATTGACTGTAACCACACAATTCAAACTCTTCCTGTCGATCATATATCTACTATTAGATTTTGATCTCCAAAATCTTTAACATCATCTCCTACTAGTTAATAGGAGTCATCCAAGCAGAAGCTGATACCCCCCCGCGACTTCTACGACAAACAGTTGTTCGTAAGTCCTAGTGCTATTTACCACGCTTCTATTTAATTTTATCTAGTTTCTTCATATATGCTCCGAATCGAAACGGCTCTCTAACCCATCAGCCCCGGCCATCTTTCCTTTTCTTCCTCCGTTAAGGTCACTACTGTTGGGTTGAGCGCCATGGTTATGCCCTAGGCCGAAAGCGGTACAACTGCCACCGTGGATAGTGGGTCAAACCCTTCCTTTATTCCTTCCTTAGAGAGTAAGAGCACCTTACAGAGCCTCCCAACACCAACCTATATATCACAGCGCATAGATCAGGCATATCGATCAATACGACATCAATCCAGAGTAATCAATAGAGAGCTGATTTCCTCAACCACTAGGTATTATCTCAGGGCTTTCCTTACCAATACCTCTGCCTAACCTCACCAAACATTCGCCCTCACTCACTCTCACTACCCCAGTCATACGCAATTCATAGCAAAGTACCGTAGGCCACTACCCACTCGTATAATAATTGAGGGACACTACTACCAAGTATCTAGAACGTCACTTACACTTACCTTAGCACCTAATGAAGCTATGTGCATTTTATTAATAGTTAGATGGCTGATTTAATGGATTCTTCAACTGCGTTACTTTTTAGAAGAACGAGGGTCACTCCTAGGCCAAATCCAATGCGGAAAGCGGTGAGAATAGGATAGGGCCTGGGAACAGGGAAATATCTCTGCTGCTTAATGACATATCTATGACGATGATTTTCACGGATAATGCGTATGATATTTCACGATAGAACGAATATAGGTCTTTCTTCATATTCTCAAAGTCTATCTAGGAGTGAATGGGTGGTATTGCTGACCTTGAGACAGATATGCTTCGTGACACTGACCGCCACCTTGTGTTAGGAATCGAAGGAACCGATATCCGTATTAAACAGGGAGGATCATGAACGCTAACACTCCTAGATCCTATAACAAAACAATTTGTTTCAAGGTCCCTACAGCTCACATACGCGACTACCACCGAACTACCCATGGTGCCACCTTCCTATCTAAAATCCCATGTATCAAACACCAGCTGCAGTTTCAATCGGGGAAACGGACCTGGTGATACCTTGAAGCTGAAACCATCAAATAACCGCGAGACCGACCACGTTCCACAGCAAAGGTGTGTTGAACCATCCCGTATCAGCGCCGCAGTACGCCGCACTCCATTTCCAGTGCAAGGGGTTCCAAGCCTCGGGCGAAGTGATGTAGCGGTGGGACATGTAGGTAAACCAAAATAAATACAAGCTCAGCGCCCCGGTTTTCTCGTTTCGAGAACTAGTCTCCCAGATGGCGACGGTAAGTCGACCGTCCAGGATAAAAGAGCTGTAGACCAGGATGGCGGTAAAGGGAGTACGATGAAGCAGGCGGAAGGTCCAGATGCAGGCGTGGTCAAGGATAAAACCGACGAGGAATACAGTCCAGGAGATGATTGCTTCTAACTAGCGTTAACTGCAATCGAGTATATAAGCTATGACAGTGTTGATGAAGTCGGAGATGGCTGTGCCGATGGAGGGTGGACCAGGGCGGCTGTCATACCATGTCGTCGTGTCACGGTATTCCAAATAGATGTCATTCCCAATCTTCGAATAACGCGCTCGTATCAAAGTTTGACAGACTCCATCAAGTATTCGGCCCGATAGAGGCCTTCGGTTCTTCTTTGCTGGCTTTGGCGTCGATACCTCGAGGGGGTCTTCGACGTTTGGTGGGGACTTTTTGGGCGACTCGCACTTCTCGGAAAAATTTATCTTGGCCTTGGGGCTTAATATGGTCCTGAAGCTTAGTTTCACCTTGCGCTCGGGTACAAGGTATTTGCTGCAGCACCCCATTGCCTCACGATACTGTGGAGTGTCGCTTATGGAAATGGAAATACGCAGCAGAGTTGAATACTCCTGGAGCAACGGGGCGGCACGGGATGGATTGATATGATGTAGAGATCGCATACTAGAAATAAAATATTGATGGTTCTGAATGTCCTGACAGCTTCATATTCAACAGTTTCGATTTCAACTAGTCTCGAGCGCCGGAATGCGAAGTGCTTTGTGTTCACAATTACCCGAATATGTGAACTGGAAGCAACAATATCTCCTTATTGGCAAGGACTGTTTCAATGCAAGGGGTTTGTTTTAATGAATGGAATGACTGGATAAATTGTCGCACCTGGCGGCATAGTACGGCATAATCTGACGTTGCTGTGTAGTCAATGTGTTATATTATGGTGTAATATGATATTCCAGTGCAATCAGCAAGACTAATACTGAGTAATTATCCGGTTTGAGCAAGACGTTTATTTCCTAGATATGTTCACACAAGGTCCTTATAGTTCAAACAGAAAGGCCACAGCAATCACGGCCGCTGATACCCTGTCAACCTCATTCTCAATCAGATTCAAAGATATCTTGTACATTTCAGGGCTCAGGACACCCGCAGCCCCCATACGATCAACAAACTGATAGAGTATATCACGAGGGAATTCTGGGTGGCCTTGGTATGTAAGAACTCTTCCCGGTTCAAACAGACCTTGTGTTTCGCACAAAGGGGTAGAGCCCAGGCAAATCCAGTTGGGAGGAAGTGCCGATATCAGGATGACATGGTCGCAATGTAGGAATTGATACTGTGTGGTCGTCGTATCCAAGCCGAAGTACTCAGTGAAGCGCGAATTGTATTCCACCTCGTGAACTCCAATCTCCCAACCATATTGTGATTTTTTGACGAGGGCTCCATGTTCGGTGAGGAGGGCTTGTGCTACCAGTTGATGTCCGAAGCACCCTCCGAAGATCTTGACGTGGGGTTGATATGTATAGACATCTATCCAGTCAGCATTAAGTAGATAAAGGTGTCAAACAACTTCCCTTACCTGAGATATATCTCCGAAGCGTATGAATCCAAGGAAAATCGTCATTGACAGAATCGAAAGAGCCGGTGATGAGCAGCGCGTCAACCGCAGCTAAATCAGTGGGGTATTGACCATCCTTGACGACGCAAGTACTTGTGTTGATAGAAAGTTTCTTTCCAGGACGACCAATATTGAAAGGTACTAGACCGGAAGCAAGCCACTTCTCGAAGATCTTGGTAAAGTTACCGTGGGTATTGAGGATCTTGTGTGGCATTTGCTCACATTCAAGAACAGCCACGTTCAGCACCTGCCGGGTCCCCGGTAGCCGTCTCACGTCAGCAATTGGTGTCAGACGCGGCTGTACGTAATCGAATTCCTGAGACAATGAATATATGTTTGGCAGAAAGCCCGCCTCTTCGAAGCTAGCAGTTGGATCCTGCATCTTTGGAAGTGTTTCGCTTCGAAAATTGATACTGACTGGCGTCAGCATGGAACAAGGACCCCTCAGTGTCAACCTTCAAGTGGCAACAACGCTGGATGGAGCGCCTTTATTATTTCAAATCTGCCAAGATTACCCACACCAAGTTGGCACCCCATATTCACTGACAAAAGGAATGATCAGGGGGTACCATGGCAGCTGCCAGCTGGAGATAACACCATGGCTCTAGTGGTCATGTTCGTCAAATTTACTACACCCCATCCTGCAGCTTGCGACTAGAATGTTTGCTAGGAGATTAAAGATGACGGCACGATAGCCTCTAGAATTGATGCTAGTTCACCAACTGCGGACCCACCAGCTTCGCAAATTATTGCCGTTGCTTGCCCTCAAGCTGTACGTGTCGCTCAGAAGCGCCCACTGCCTGGACGTCTGCAGGGACTTTCCGGTAGCAAGGACAGGTATATTCCACCCTATAAGAGCCTAGTGTAGAGACTTTTATAACTGACTGGCCCATTTGTCAAAATGGGAGCCACTGGATTAAGTCTGTGAATATGCTGTGACATCCGGCGTGCAGCAATAGTTCTGGTAGGGTAGTAAGAAGGGACTGTCCAATTCGAATTCCCCCCACGATTAAATATGCCTAAGGTAAGAATGCTTAACACGATGCATCCCAAGGTGATGAACCCTGGTCACTAGATATGATGTGTCTTGCATTGAGGTGGAGTGGTCAGGTCGTGTTGGTAATCCATAGGAGAAGGCATTCTTGACACATGTGGTGAGAGCAGAGACACCCAAGAAAACACTGCCAGGCTCTGCTTCAGCTAAATTAAACAATGAAAATAGAAATTATCCTGTCTGTCGTCAGCCTACCGTGTTATAACATATTATCGAATTTGGTGCACCTAGTCTTCATAACGAAGTTATACCACGCCCCACGTGCGTGCAATACCTGGTAATATCGGGGTACCCACCCCATGGTACTTCACCTTGTGCGCCGTTTGATACTATCTGCTGAGCTGCTGATCATACTGGAGCTGCTGCATTAACAAGACAGATTGCCGGCTCAGCCTTTTGAACGAGCTCCGTGGTGTGCATATGTATTTGGTATCTCTGGCTGAGGGGCAATGTCATAGGAGCCGCTAAAAAGAAGGAGTAGGCATAGCAAGCGTAATATTACGTATTTTCATGAAACTGTTACCATTCCTGACCACAAAGCCTTCCACGGGAGTGACAAAAAGGGGTGGAAACTAATTTGTTCCACTGGGGAATCTCTTAACATTTATTTACTTTCATCCTAGCCAGTCGACCGTCAAGCACTACGTCGGCGGAATATAACTCGACAGCCGGTCCAGAATTCGAATCGTTAATCCGACCCCTTATCGGACCTCGCCTTTCCGATAACGCTCGTCGGCGAACCCGTCCCCTCACGATAGAAGGCGCGCAGCACGCCCTCTCGCCGCGATTCTTGCGAGCGTCTGACCACGTTACGGTCTATCCACTTGAGCGTATGGTTGAGATGTATACGCTCGACGAGAACCCCAATTAGCAGATACTACGACTTGTCGCGACAAAAAAATAGTCGAGCATCTTCTGCACATCAGCAGCATCCCACCCCTGAGGACGAATTTAAGTGCCACATTACCACACTTATCGGTAGTTCAGGCAGGGGTTGTAGCACAGACTTAGGGAGGGACAGGAGGTTTAGTAGTCGTTTGGCTACAAGTTTACCTGTATAACCGCCCGACGCGGCTTAAGGGCCCGCTATATCATCTATAGCCCCTTAAGGGAGTACTTGGAGAGGTACCGAGGGTTAACACCTACGGCGTATTTAATATTATTTTTTTATTTACTTTATTTTTTTTATTTTTTTTTTGTAAATCTAGTTAATACATCGCAGTGTACCGGGTCAAAACATATACCATCCAATTGATAATTAGTCTAACACCTATGACTCAGAAGTCTCGTTGACCCAGCTGGTGAAATGGGGTGTCCCTGCGGCTCATGCCTTGCGTCGACAACACATATACTCTGCTCCAAAAAACCGTGTGCGCTTTGTCCAGCACATAGTCAGAAACCTGATCGTGAAACAAGGCCGACATAGTCACATCATGGTATTCCTCAGGTCAAATATACATGCCTCCATTTCATGGCCACATATACCCCACACTTCAACACCACATATGACATTACACCTAATTTGCCGCAGCATTCTTCGGAACAAACATCCTTGGCCCAACCCTGCCAGCACCTTCCCCGTCCAAACCCCTCCCCTCAGAACCCTCCCTAACCCGCAACAGCGCCGGGGCCATCTTCACCACGGCCAGAAGCACCGGACTATATTCCACACCTGTTCACTTTTGTTGGTGTTAGTAATTTAAAATATTGTTCGGGCTTGGGTCATTTCAAAGACTGAATTTATACCACAGGAAATGGTTGCTATAAATAAACACTTTTTTTAGGGCCGGGTTCCTTATGCTGAGCGGTATCATGAATTGCTCGCGATGTAAAATCCAACTTGGGAGTCTAGAAATGTCAAATGACCTAGATGCTTCAGGGAGTAACAGCAGGCCATTGAAAGAAATTTAATGTTTGCTCTGATTGCTCATCTTTCATGATGCTGTTACCGGTTGCGGTATTCAATGAAAGGCACTTTGTGGTTTTCGCCCCAAGGCCAAACCAAGCCCATTGTCTCAGCAAATGTCTCAGTGCGGTCAAGTCTCAACCCCCGGTCAAAGAACTCAGGATTCGCCAATTTCATTCGGGCTGCACCGTTCTTTCGATACAACGAATACGCAGAATATATGCATAAATATGTACACACAACATGTCCTACTCCCTGACAAACAGCCCCGCCATACCCATCCCTGTACCGACACACATACTTACCACACCCACCTGCCCTTCACTCCTCTTAAGTCCATGTATTAACGTGCTTGTCATTCTTGCACCCGTGGCCCCCAGAGGGTGTCCCAGCGCAATAGCGCCACCATCAGGGTTCACTTTGCCCCGCTCCCAGTCCTTCTCGAGCCCTAACTCCCTTACACAGTAGATGGCCTGACTAGCAAAGGCCTCGTTTAGCTCCCAGCGGTCCACATCCTGCGTGCTGATCTCGAGCTGGCTTAGTAGCTTTGGTATGGCCAGCGCTGGGCCGATGCCCATCTCGTCGGGCTTGCAGCCTGCCGTGGTGGCAGCCACAAACTTGCCGATGATGCTCGAGGTGAGCCCCAGCGCTGTTGCCGTGCTCCGTCGCATGAGAAGCGTAGCAGCGGCGCCGTCACTAACTTGGCTCGAGTTGCCGGCCGTACTCGCGCCATCAGCCTTGAAAGCGGCCTTCAGCTTGGCGAGGCCCTCGACGGTGGCATTGGCTCTGATTCCGTCGTCCGTAGTGACTGTTATTCGCTGTTCCTCGCCAATTTTGTTGCCCTGCTTATCTACCTCCTGGAACCTCGTGTTGACCGGGACAATCTCCTGCTCAAAGTGCCCCTCAGATTGCGCCTTAGCGGCGCGGCGGTGACTCTCGACGGCAAACTCGTCCTGCTCTTTTCTCCCCACGTCATATCGCTCCGCCACATTCTCGCTCGTAAGTCCCATGGCCATAATACAGTCCCGAGCATCCTGCACGGAACTCTCCTTCAACTCGGGCCACAAATCCATAGGAATAGCTCTGCTCCCGTAATTCCTCGTCATACTCTCCATGCCGGCCGCAATGCCTACGTTGATCATCTCACTCCTTATTTCTCCCGCGATGGTGACCATGCCCTGAAGACTGCTACTACATGCCCGGTTCACCGTGCACAAGCTCGTAGTGTTCGGAAACCCGACGTGGTTCATGGCCATGCGGGCCGCCTTGCTGCCGCCCAGCTCCGAGAGCACCACGCCCACGGCAACATCGTTGATTTGGTCGGGTGGCAGGTTCGGGTTCGCGTCGAGGGTGGCGCGCAGCACAACCGAGAGCAGTTCTTCCGGGTAGGCGTCCTTGAGCTGGCCGCGGTACGATCTGCAGATGGGCGTGCGTAGTGATGATAGGATCACTGTGTCCGAGGGGGCTTTTGCTAAGATTGCCGAGAGGCCTTTGGGGAGCGAAGCCATTTTGAAGATTGTACGTGACAAGAGCTATGACTTCTAGGTTCGAAGGAGGCAAGTTCGAGCGGAGGGACGAACGGTTGAAACTCCGCGAGCAGATTGAAAAAGTTAAATCCAGCTTCAGTCTGGACAAAACCCGGTGCTAGGACTCAAAACCGGAGTAAAATGAGCCATGACGATTATCCAGGGTATCGGCACCCAGCGCTGATCCTTAAGTGCGAAGGTTGAAGTGGGGGATAAATGCACACCCGAAGCCCGGCACATTGAAGCCTCCCGGCATTGGCTTTCGGCAGCACGAACGGCATATTCCGCCGCATCGGCTCGGTGGGAGTTACGGTATCGTGAACGCGAAGTGCCCGAGGTTCTTACGGCCAATATACAACACGAGTTTCAATTTCTACTAACACAATTTGGCCAATGTTGCCATCCGTAAAGTCATTATCATTTGTGAGCTATATCATCATTCTTGTCCTATCATACAGTCCGTGACCAAAATCGGAGCAGAGAAAGCTACACGGTGCTGTACAGATTGAGAAGTTAGGAGTGTCCCTAAATAACAGAGTGAAGACTGCATCAAATTTGCCAAAGCAAACAGTACAAGCAAACCGGGTATAATACAGACGCTGATCCGCATCGTCCATCCCTAGAAAACAATCAAGCATTACATCGTGCCAGTTTCCTTACGCCGGTCTCCTCAGGGGAGCATGATCATCATCATGAGGGACGCAGTATTGTGCGTTTCCTAGCTGTACTGAATTCCAAGGCCAACTCTATGGTTCGCATCGGGCCCGCCAGCTCCGTATCTCATCTTCTTGGTAGGACTGGTTAGGACTTCACGTCTACCTTCATCGGCTTCCGCACTAGCACCTCCACTATACTTGCGCTTCTCTAGACCAGCCTTGTTAATGCTGGCGAATATCTTGGCTTGCAGCTTGGCACTCTTCTCAGCCGGCGCCGGTGTGCCGTCACGTGAGCCGACAGAGCTTGCCACCTCGAAGCTCTCTCGAGGGTCACGGCGAAGCATCTCCGACGCCGTCAGACTGGCCTGGCTCTCAAACACCTCCTCTTCTTCATCATGTCTCCGTGAATTACGCACCCCAGATCCCCTCGATCCTTGGGACTTGAAAGACTGCGTCTGGGCAGCCTCTAGGGCGGCACGGGCCAACTCAGCATTATCGTCAGCTGATATGGTGCTCTCCCTGCTCTTACATCCTTGTTTTGCCGTCTGTGTCTCGTGGCCAAACCGATTACCAGTCCCAAATGGGGCGGGAGGTTCCGTCTGTGGCACAAGGTCCACCGAGGGAAGAAGCACAGCGTGCTCGCCACGTGATCGAGCGTTCGGCGTAGTAGGTAGGGAGGACAGGGACTGAACACCACGAGTATGCTTTGGCATCATGCGAGGTGCCGGGCGAGTCGTTGTAGTTGGGGTAGATGGTGCGCTGTTATTATCATGGTTGAGAGCCTGCAGGAGCGCATCAAAACCGACGTTCTCAGAGCGAGTGTGCTGGTGCATCGCTCTAGGAGTCTGTCGAGTCGTGGCTCGGTATTGCTGCGGAGTGGCCACGGCCGGGGTCTTCGGTGTGAGGGCGCCGTGGAAAGCTCCTCCAGGGCTGCATAGCATGTGGAAGTGCTCGCGGTTCTCGCGGATTCGGTTTAGGAGCATGTCACGTTCGTCAGTCAGACCAATAATCTCATCTTCCTTCTGCTGGATAACCCTCTTAGCCAGCTTCGCTCGCTTGATAAGGCTGTCGTTTTCCTCGATGGCGGCCTCGTAGCAAACCTTCAATTGGAGGTATTTCGCCTGGGTAGATTGTTGAGCAGCACTCAGTTCCCTCCTGGCTTGGCGCGAGTTCTCAGCCATTCGAAGTACGTCGACCTCCCGACGCGTCATGTCGTGTTCGACCTTGGCCCGCTTCGAATCTTCGTCGGCCTGCATGCTGAGTAGATTGTATTGTAGTTTGTGGTGAGCTGTCTCCATCTTGAGGCGGGCATTTTCAGCGAGGCAAGCCTGGAACATGGTCCGCAGCTCTCCGGCCGAGGCGTCTTCAATCTGTTGGGTGTCGGGCGGGATATATTCGTTTACCTGAATCCCATCGTGTCGGAGGGCATATCTAGTTGTGGCCGGCGGAGAGAACATGTTGGCTCTCTGGGAGCTGATGTAAGAAGCCCCATTGGTTACGTGCGGAACCTGAGAGGAAGGCGGCGGGGTCAAGGACGATGGAATGACCTGGGAATTCGGAATTCGGTCATCGTTCAGCTCGGTCTTGAAGGACGATGTAGGATCAATAGGTGACGCTGGGCCTTCAGTCGAGGGTAGTGACTGATGAGAGTCGAAGGAGTGGTTGTCAGGCGGGGTCGACGGAGCAGCTTCGTCGACCATGTCATTAGGCCTTGCTGTGGTAGCCATTTCCGAATCGGTAGACATTATTCAAAGTCGGTGGTAGGAGCGATTTGGGGTCCGGCTTCTCGGGGCTTGACGAGCTCAACAGCAGGCTGATCAAAGTTTGGGCCGCGACTAGCAACTGCGTCTTTCACGTCGCGAAGAGGTCAAGGTTTGACCGACAGCTGGCAAGGACGGGGTACGGTCACCTCTGCTACTTATTCTGGTGTCCTGCGAGTGGGGAGGGGCAAGGCCAGGAACTAGAAGCTCGGGTCACTCCTGTAGCAGGAGGAGGAATTCGATCGCCCGGTGGTATCAGTTGTCAAGACATTCAATCTGTATGTACACTTCAGTTGGATAATGAATTGTGGAATGGGAAGTTCACGAAGAATCTCCTACAAATGTGCAAATGGGTCTTGGGTGCATGTGGATTCAAATGGGTTTTCGGGAGCCTGCCCAGCCAACCCAAGTGACCGCCGACCAGAAGGCTGGCTGGAAAAACTCTGTGGTTGGTAGAGAGGTGAGCCACTAATCCGATATTGGCTTAGTGCCCAGCCGAGTCTTTGGCCCAAGTATTGGCTTCTGGGAAACGTGAAACATTTGATCCTCTTGATAGTTGAAATGAAACGATGAACACCCAGCAGAGAACTTGGAGGGGCTGGATGCAGAGGATATGCATTGAAACAAACACCTCCCGCTGTAGCTCAGGTAGTTACAACTAGGACTCCGAGGGGCATTTCAGCTTGCAAATCAGAAGTACTGCAACTCACAGTTGCCTGTGTTTTCACACTGCTATCAATGGTTCACTCCGGGCCTTGGTTAACCTTTGTAGTATCAATATATATTGGAAACCTCTGTAGGAAGTGTGGCCTTCTCTGTTCGAGAGATCCCTAATCTTCTACTCTGTAGTTGCCGTGGTTGTGGAGTTCACGCTTCCTTTGTATTGATTCAAACCAGCTTGGATGAAGACTTTACCAGTCTCATAGAATGGCGTCGGGGACAACTTCCATTTGGGTGGTTACTGGATGGCAACTGAAGGCATGAGAGAACACGGTCTATTATACTTTTGATGTTATATTATTTTGCTGAGCTATAACTGGAAGACTAGTTGAGTAGAACTGAGCATAGGATGCGGATATCAAGAGTAGATAAGCGAGGGTTGCTTTTTTTTCTCTTCTTGAACTTGTGGACAATGCATCTTGCAATCTTTTTACCTCAGATCTACTACAAGTATGCCTACTCGTACCACTATATATTGCCAATCTCTGATTATGTTTTGTATGGATAAGGAAAGATGCCAACTGTGAAGTTAGTTACATACATTGTAGTGTTAGACCCCGCCACTGAAATGATTTCGCCCCACTCGCTTGCCCCTTGCAGGAACCGAGCTGCCGACCCTGCAGTAAGCGGAAACAGCGTCCAGGGTCCTATGGGCTGCACGGCGAAAGTGCACCCATCGCCGATAGGTCCAGAATACAGTAATTTCTATTGACACTACGCGCTAACTTTATCCAACTTGTCAGCCCAACCACAACGGTTCTCCTTATTCCGTTGGCGTTCAGCGGATGACGCGCCGTGTGCTCTTGGTGTGCTGTGCTTGCTTGAATTGACATTTTGATACACGCATAAAACAATGGACGAGAAGCGCCCAAGCACGTCGTCCGGCAGGTTGAGTGGCCTTCCTCGACCGTCTTCTCGACTTCCACTGCCACGAACATCGGGGCTTCTAACAGCTCCGGGAGGAGGAGGAGGAGCAGGAACAGGAGTCATTCGGCCGTCTCCGTCTAAAGAGGGCCTGCGAGGATTGACCCAGTCAACCATCAGCGATATTCGAGCAGCCAATCCGCGACTACGTGCCAGCTCCTCTCGAGACAAGCTCAATAATGCATCTGCCAATGCGAACGCCCTGCGAAAACCCCAGAGGTCTGTTGCGCCACCAGTAAGCTCACAGGCCGCAGTTCGAGGTGTTAGAAATCGAAGTGCGTCCCGAGAGCCTGCCCCTGTGCCCCGCGAAAACGATGATGGTCGCTTCAAACGACCTCTTGCTCCTAGAAGAAAACAATCAGGCCAGCTCTCAGTCGCTACGTCACAAGTTACCACCGCGTTGGAAGGAGATTATCTACAAGATGCTCTGCCAATTTTGATGAGCTCGACGGAAGAGGGCGTCACATTTGACACAATACGGTCACAAGCAAAGCAGACAAGACCGTCACTGTCGGAGAGAACCATCGAAACTCTTTCTCGGCTGCCCTCTTCTCCAGCTTTCAAACGACACGAGTCAGACTTCTTCGGATCAGATGGAGCTAGAAGGCCATCATCCCGTGCGGGCAGTGGTGGCTCACGCCCCGGTTCCAGCTATCAATCTGACGGGTCAACCGGTATGCCGCTGAGTCGGCCGGGATCAAGCTCTGGTCCATCAGACGGTCTACACACCAATTCGAGGGCACCGACGAACACCTACAAGCCTCCACTGTTGACAGTACAGGATACTCCCAATCAAAGAACAACTGCTATGAAGACTCCTTCAATTAAACCTAGTAACAGTCTTAAGTTAACGTCTGCTTCTAGCAAGCTGCAGTCGAGACCATCATTATCTGCGTCCATAGGACCACGCACACCGAGCCCCGAGAAGCAGGTGGCGGCATCTGTGTCCAGGTACGGCTCGAAGACCCTGGCCGCCCGTCCATTGAAGCCGCGAGCTTCCATACATGGACTGTTCAAGAAACCTTCCATGTCATCACTGGACAAGCCCGCCGCTACATCAGAGCTGTCCGTTCGTACTCCCCAGAAGGCTTCTCGGGCATCCCTGTCAGTCAAGTCCACTGCAACATCTGGGGAGGATCGGACTCTGTCTAGTGCTTCGATGGTGTCTACGGCGCTAACCGTCGATTCGGTGGAAGAAGCCCCCGCTACGACAGCTAGGAAATCGTCGGCAGCATTGCGGGAGCAGATCGCCAAGGCAAAGGCAGCCAGGCGCACAGCTTCCAGGCAAGTTTCGGGAGCTGCTATGCCTTCCACAGAGGAAACGCTAGTGGTTTCTACAAACTTCGAACTCTCTGATGATCCCTTTGGGCAGAAGCAGCTTGAGAGCTCCAACCGCAAGGTTTTGGCGTCACGTATCAGCCAGGCGCGGACCTCCGGCAAGCTTAACATTGGTGCAATGGGCTTGAAGGAAATCCCCGAGGAGGTCTTGAAGATGTATGATCTTGACACCATTGGTCAGAATGATGTTAGCTGGGCGGAGACTGTGGACTTGACTAGGTTCGTCGCGGCCGGCAACGAACTCGAGACGATCGACGTCTCGGTATTCCCCGACATCGACCCCAGCGCTGTTGCAGATGATGAGGATAGCCAAGGACACCAATTTGCTGGCTTAGAGAGTCTGGATTTGCATGGCAACACCCTAATTTCAGTGCCTATGGGCTTGAGACGCCTTCATCAGCTCACATCGTTGAACCTGGTAAGCTGTTTGGCCTGTTTCTGTCCAGCAAATCTAACTGATTCACAGGCGCAGAACAAACTGGCAAACAACTGCCTCGAGGTTATCTCTCAGATCTCTACCCTTCGAGACCTGAAGCTGGGAAATAATTTGCTCTGCGGACCCATCGATCCTTGTTTCTCGAACCTCGAGAATTTGGAGATCCTGGATTTGCGAGGAAATAACATCACAGCCCTTCCAGAGGGTGTGGGGAACCTTTCTCGGCTGCGCATACTGAATTTGAACCAGAATTCCTTCGAATCGCTGCCGTTCAAGAGCCTCTCGAAGTTGCCACTCACGGAGTTGCTCGCTCACAAGAACAAGCTGAAGGGCACGCTGATTGAGGCGGACGTCGACTGCCTGAACCAACTGCACACGTTGGACGTCTCGGCGAACCAGCTTACGCTTTTGGAACCAATAGATACTGCAAAACCGGTGTCCTTACCTTCACTTCATCAACTGACCCTGTCCATGAATCGACTGACGATGTTGCCCGACATGACTTCGTGGAAGAACCTGCTGAGTCTGACTGCTGATGAGAATAGCATCGCAGCTATCCCTACAGGCTTTACTGGCCTGGAGAAACTGCGACATGTTGACTTCACCAGCAATGATATCCGCGTCATCCCACCAGAGATTGCTCGTATGGATGGACTCGCGTTGCTTAGAATTACCGGAAATCCTCTCAGAGACAAGAAGTTCACGTCGCTCACCACCGAGGAGCTCAAAGCAACTCTGGCATTGAGGTTGGAGCCAATCCCCGCAGAGGATGATGGCGGCATTGAGCAGTTCGGCAATGGGTTCGATCCTTCAGGTGGCAGATCGCGCGCCGGTTACCAACCTAGCACCGAGACCGCTGTGACAAGTTTGGATGATAACGACAGCAGTCGCTCAGAAAATGACGACTTTGCTACTCCGCCAACCTCGGCTCCTGCCTCTCCAGTTAGATCTCGATCGCAGACTATCAGCAATCAGACGTGGCCCATCAAGAATGGTGGCATTCTGGATCGGTCCAACACGCAATCATCATCGCTCCATCCCGTCATCTGCTCTAAGATCGCAGCTAGCCAGGGCATCCGCGAGATCCGACTGCAGCACAACACTTTTACGAGCTTTCCCAACTCACTTTCCTTTTTTTCTGACACGCTCACCTCGCTTTCGATGTCACACAACCAGCTTGTGGGCGAGAGCTTTCTCAACGAAGAGCTCGACTTAACAGCGCTAAAGGAGCTGGATCTATCCCACAATCACATTACCGGCCTCGGGCCGCTGACCACGAACCTGCGAGCTCCTAACCTGCAGAGGTTGGACGTTTCTTGCAATCGCATTGTCGGACTCCCTGTGCTGCGAGACTTCTTTCCAAGTCTGTCCATTTTTCTCGCTGCAAATAATCACATGGAAGAATTGGACCCAGACACCATCAAGGGGATGAAGATAGTTGACGCCAGTGACAATGACATTGCACATCTGAACCCACGGATTGGTCTTTTAGGCGGCACCGGCAACTTAGAGAGACTGAACGTCACAGGAAACCGTTTTAGGGTTCCCAGATGGAACGTCTTGGATCGCGGGACCGAAGCAACACTCCGATGGCTCAGGGGGCGCGTGCCTTATGCAGAAATGGCAGAATGGAGGGCAAAGGCCGGTAATGCGGAAGAAGACGACTTTGCTGAACTTGATTGAAGACTCATAGCCGAGATGGCGTGGTAGGTTGTGTCAATAATTTGGAGTTGAAGAAGAGAGTTGGCGTTACGCAAGACAGAGATACCAATTTGCTTCGCACTCTTCACATAAGTGCAGTTTACATACATAATTAAGGCACACGAGACTCTGGGTGTTTCTCGCGAGGATGGGGAATGGAGAGGTTGTCATTATTAGGCGACATATCAGTACAAGTACCCCAAATCAGTACAACTATGGTAATGGAGGCAGTTTTTTCAGTTCAACTGACCCGTCTACATTCTGCGATCTGTTCGATATGCCCGCTACTTGTCACCGCCTGGTTCACATCAAATTCATTGATGTTTCTCCGAAGATTGCTTCTGTTATGAACATATGATTCACAGCAACCGCTCACTTGCTACATCATTGCAGCCAAAATGTTCTTCCCAACAGCCTTTAACTTCATGAAGCATTTCTTTTGAAATTCACCCCTCAGATTGTCTTGCCACAATTAATCGTGTCGCTGATCCTATCAGTCGCTCGGTTCTTCAAAGAGAGGCGGCCCCCGCCCATTACGCCACCCAGAGAGGACATCGAACACCCACCACCACTAGAGACCCAAGAAAGCTGCAGCATCCGTCTGTTTAAGTTCAAGACTCCTTGAGAGCCTGTATATCTCCCCTGAAGAAAAGCATTTCACCCCTTCTGCATTAAAATATGGGTCGAATCAATATGTGATAACGCCAGAGGACCAGTTTGCCCCCACTGCCACGGTAGCCTCCGTTTTGAGGCATATGAATGCCTTTAGTAGACCGGATGAGCTCACGAAGTAAGAATTTGAGTCTTGCAAACAAGCCTGGCTGAGGAATTCAATGGCACCGTCTGATTAGCTCTACGTGCTCTGATAATTGGGGAATAGCAGGTATACAGATAGGCGGGGAGTATGACTAGTAGCAAGGGGTTTGTACTCACGGGTTAGGGCAATAGAGATCAGTTAACAACAAACAGTGACCATAAGATGTAGAAGGCGAGTTGAAGAGGTTATAGAGCGTATCGAGCGGCATAATGGGAGAGGTCCGAGAGCGTACGTTCGAATATATATTGACGCTGATTGACATATTCAACTTGAATCTCTTGAAGTCTGGTTATATGAGATTTCAATGCAGGAGAATATGGTTAAATTAGTGCGAAATTAAGAAGCAAACGGTTGATAACCACTCAGTACATGAATAATACATGAATAACCTTAAGCCAGAAGTGGATAATACTCGTGAATGTTACCATAGCTCCCTCAATTTTTGTATTGTGTGAATATAGAAAGCACCGAGCAGAATCGAGGTGCAGATGGTACCATCGCCCCAATAAACTCGCAAGACATATTAGTTTTTGACTCCTGTGATGATTTCGCAACAACGAGTAAGATGATACAGCTAGTGACGGACTTGGCTCTGTTCATGCCCAGCAACCCCTGAAAGACATGGTAGTTCCCAGGAGAGCCCCAACTGTGTGAAGCGGAGTTTATGAGCCAGCATGGTACTATAAGGCCAGATAAATTCGGTTGCAGTGAACCTCATGATACTTGGCACATCAGATTTGTCAGTTATGTCTTGGCTTAATGCTGTTTGGATCTGAGGATTGCCACTCTTGGTTGGTTCTTAACACTCGTCATGATTACCCAAAAACAGATACTGGATGTCACTTCTACTGCGTGAATTTATGAATTTGGTTATACTCTACAACCTCAATGGTTATCAATATCAAGCGAGAGTTTCATTTGAACTCAACACAGAGTAAATCACAAATAAGTGCCGATATGACGCGCCATGGTCATGGTAGAACATATTAATGAGCCAGCAAGTTCATGTTGTACGTGATAGAACTCATCAATATGTTCGTGTCACTGAAGTAAAGCCTTGCCTCGTCCTAATAGCAATTGCAGCCAGCCCCTCCTTTTTCCCACGCAAATGACGGTTTAACATAACTTGTGGAATTGAGCGCAACGGTTATGCCCTAAGCCGAAGGTGGTGTAGCGGCAAGTGTAGTCTAGTGGAGTCAGACCCTTCCTATAGCATCAAATAGCAACGCACACAGCCAACAGAACAGTAGAGAGATACACCATCAAGATAGGATCTACCCAGAGTCATCAACAGAGGACTGAATCCCTCATAACTCATCAAAATGACAGTTCCCAGGGGATATCTCTACATTGAACTATGTTGCTGGATTTTCGGCATCGTGACGTGTTATTCTCTATTCTGGAGCTGGCTTCTTCCACAAAATTTTCTTCTCAGCTAGTTGTACGGGGCGGTGTTTGTTTTCTTGGAACCACTGGAAACACATAAAAACGGCTGCGCGTGTAATATTTGGGGTCACTCTGGTCATCAACACATTCATCAGAGAGAAGTAGAACAGGAGATCACCTGAATTATAAACTACCTTGCCGGCTGGGAAGTATTCATCATTTTCTGAACACGGGTTTTACTTCCTGTGGATTGATGCATACTGATCACCGTGCCGCTAACACAGGTGAATCGGTGGCACCGGAAAATCAAGCAGAAGAGCTAGAATGAGGAGATCTCACGCATTCGGTCTGACCGGAGTTGTTCTTTCCCATCACGGAGTGTCTTGGACTAGCTTCAATACTTCGTTCATTTACGTAGAGGCACTAGCAAGCTATAAATACCCAACTCACCGAGTGTAGATCGGAATGTCCATCTTCATCTCTAGATTCATGATCAATCTCAGCAACTCCACCTACACAATTCACGATGATCTACGCTTGCAGTTGTGGCGGAACAGTTCGTACAGCTCTACTGAGTTGACAGCGTGGAATAATTGGCAGAATGAATGACCATCGTGGAAACACGAAGGTTGGCAGGCTGGTAGGATTGGGGATGGCGGTTAAGTAGCTGGGATCAGGCGCTAACGCGAACCCCTGCTGTTGCGCCAGGACTCCAATTGCGATCTCCATCTGCCCCAGAGCAGGCGTGACCCAAAGGAGGAACGACGTCATCGGCACACTTTTTCCAGGTTGACTGATTGTAGAAAGAATCGCTAGTCAACGGTTTCAAAATGTTACAATTTCATGTTTTCTCACTACCATCAACAAGATCCATCGGTCGTCATGCATGATGGGTAATCATACAAACCGGCCAATAGGCCATCCGAATCCTTCAACGAGTTTCTCGGATGCCATTGTCAATGCACCATGGAAATTGGAGGCAGACCAGGTCATTCACTTCCTCTTCGAGAGATGCTCCAAGATGAAACCCTGCCATTATCTGAGTTTAACCCCACAAAGCGGCACTGCAGCCCTTGCCGACCCCTGCTGAGCAACTGACAGGTCTCCCAATTGGGACGACCGTTGGCCAACCAAGCCGCGCTACTGGGACATCCAGTACTGACTTAATAGATTTCTGTTTGAACCATACTCTTTTGGACGACGATCTGAATCTCAATGTTACGATGGCATGTTTGCTGGTGTGCAGCGGCTACCCGCAATCTTCACCGTACCAGACTGTACCTGGAGGAACTTGGTGAATTGGAAAAGGGGTGACCGTCGGGGAATCATGATAACCATGTGGGCCAGTTGATGCTCATCTCTTCGAGCTTGAAAAGAGGGTGAGATCCTCTTGTTGAGAAGAACAGGCAGCTTTATCTCTCTGCTCTTCACCCCTCTACAGACGGACAGTTGCGTGTCTTTCGTGCTTTCTAAGCATTGTCACTCTTTTTTTGAAGTAGTTGTTTCTTTTGCACTACTCCAGTCCACTCCTTGTAGATACACACAGTCACTCTCTTATAATGCTTTTCTCAACACTCGGTTCTTTGGCTGTGGCCCTTGCGGCTTCGGCCGTCAGCGCCACTCCCGGTAATGTCGTTGCACCCGTCACTGTGGTGGAGAGACATGGCGGCGGTTTGGATCTCGGTCAACTCGTGTCTAAGCCTATCACCGAGCACATTTCCATTGACACCGACTTGAGTGGACTCGCTTTGGTCGAAGGGTACTCCTCCCCTGGCACCGTACTGAACAGCATCAAAGACCAGAAGCTAATGAGGATTCAGTGTCATCGTAAATGCAGCTATACCATCCGTCGCCGGTGTCGCGGCCGGTGTCGAGGTTGCCGTCATCTGCAAAGAATGCTACACCAAGGGAAACATTGACGCAACCGTCTCGCTCGAGAACCTGATCCCGGCCCTCAGCCTATCCATTACCGACGTCGAGGCATACCTCGACCTTGACATCTCATTGGGTGTTGCTACCACTATCGCTGTCAACCTGTTCACGCCTCCCAATGCCATTTCCCTGTCTCTTCCCGGTTTGCTGAACGTCGATGCTATGATCTATCTTGACCTGATCATTGGTGTAGAGGCTGCCATCGATGTCTCGGCTGGTGTTTACATCAAGCTGGTCGACGACGCCACTCTCTCGACCAACATCCTTTCGGGTGAGATCCTCGAGGCTGCTTTTGAAGGACTTGCCGTCAAGACTTTGCCCGTTGAGGTCCGCATTGGATGCACTCAGTTCCGTGCTGACCTGCAACTCCGTGTTGAGCTTGCTGCCCAGGCTGAGGTCGATCTCCCCGAGGTTCTTGGTCTCGATCTTGACATTGGTGCTGGTGTCGAGGTCGGTGTTTACGCCAACCTGATGGAGTATTTTGCTCTGTTCTGCGACACCCCCAAGTGCCCCAAGTCCCGCGACTCGTTCGGTCTCAACATCGGCGTTGCCCTCGCGTTGGACGTTGAGATTGGCGATATTCTGACAGCGGCCCTCGCCCCCACCATTTCGACTGCTCTCCTCCAGCTGCCCACTGCCTCGTACTGCGAACACGGCCCTCGCCATACGCACGCTGGCCTATCTGACAGCTCCACAGGACACGGCTCCTTGACCGCTTCTGTCCCTGACGTCACTGGATCTGCCATCTCTACGTTGGCTTCCGGCTCTGATGCTGTTTCCACCACCACCATGCCTGCGGACGGAATGGTCACATCGACTGTCACTGGAACACAGACCTATACCGTCACCAGCTGCGCCGCCACAGTTCCCAACTGCCCTGCAGCCTACCAGTCCACCGTTACCGTCATTAAGACCACCGAGTACACCACCATCTGTCCGGCGACCATGTCCGTTACTGCTCCCACCACCAAGCCCACCCCCAGCAGTGTCTCTCACTCTATTCCCGCTGCCGTGACCACCGTCACCACTGATGTTACCATCCTTGTTCCTTGCTCATCCGTTGAGACCTTCACTCCTCCCACTGGAGTCCCTACCGCCCCCGCTTACCCTACCACTGCCAAGACGACTTACACCACTGGAAGCGCGAGCCAAACCACCTATCCTGCTGGTGAGACCTCCCCAGCTGGAAGCGAGTCTACCACCTACCCCGCTGGAGAGCCGACTACTTACCCTGTCGGTGGTGAGTCTACCACGTACCCTGTCGGTGGTGAGTCTACCACGTACCCTGCTGGTGGGGAGTCTACGACCTACCCTGCTGGAGGCGAATCTACTACCTACCCGGCTGGTGGCAAGTCTACGACGTATCCTGCCGGTGAGACCATAACTTACCCAGCTGAGAGTCTGAGTGAGACTACATACCCGGTCGGAGGTGCCAGCGAGACACCGGGAAGCCCCGTCCCCAGCGTGAGCTACCCGGCTGTGGGTGTGCCCGGCTCGTCTAGTGTTCCCGTTCCCACCAGCTACTCGGTGTCAGTCCCAGCAGGCGGCTACTCGTCCAAACCGCACGGCTACAACGGTACCTCGTCGAGCTACCCTGCCACCATAGTGACACAGCCCAGCGCCTCGTCCATATACACCACGCTGCCGATGACTTCCTCTGCCCCTGGTAGCTCCCCAACAGCGCCACCACCCGTCACTGCCGGTGCGGGCCGCATGGTTGGAAGCGGTCTTGCTGGTATGTTGGTAGTTGTCGCCGCCTTGGTTGCTGTCATGTAAGGCAGTGTTTTGTTATTTCGAGAAACGGGCAAACGATATCAAGTGTAGAAGCCGTGTAGTCTTAATGTAGTATTAAACGATGGTGTGCCTTTTGTCTTTTAGTCTAGATGTATATTCTGCTTGTTCCAAAATCTCGTTTCCCTGTGATAAATATGCGCGTGTGTGAATCATTGCAAGTAAATAAACACCATGCTCAAGTCAGCATAACAATGTCAAATGCGTTCATGCTCTTTCCAGAAATTATCATCAAGCCACAACCAAATCCCGCGTCTCACTAACCCAACACGCAGACAACTTATCCACAGTCTCTACCTTCCACCTCGGTCCATCCCCCAAGCAAAGCACCCTCTGTGAAATGATTCTCAAGAACTGCCTCATAAGCTCAACATGCCTTTCGCTCGTCCTGCCCCCTAGTGTATCCTGCAAAACTCCAAATCTCTCCCTAGCTTCCGCCGCAAAATCATCTCCACCTCAAATGGCGCCATCGTCCCCTTCTTCGGACCATGCTTCTCTTTTATTAACCTAAAAACCGCCATCGCCGTCGCTTCCTCTTTTTCACGTCGCGGTCAATCTTCCCCACCACTACCGGCGGCAATGATGTTGTTTTTATATCCTGCATGCGGTAAACCAGCCGGGTGTAAAGCATGTTTCGTATTTCTTCCAGGGGCATTCTAGAAGGATGGAAGGCAGGCCGCAGAGGTCGTGGGCGGCGGCTAATGCGCCTGGGAATGGGGTGGGTTGACACAGGGTCGTGACGATGGTGTAGTTGTAGGCTAGGGAGGAACAGTAGATTTGGCCTGCTAGCTTGTATGCTGTTGGCCCTAAGTAGGGGATTATATCAGCGGGGAGAGGGGGTTTGGATGAGCATTGATGTGGTAAAGGAGACCGGGTGGATTGGTTCTGGATGTGGTTGAGTTGACGGATCGATAGAGAGATCGATGAGTTCGGATTGAGGTTGGAGATCGCGATCCCAGTTCATGAAGAGACTCTGTACGGCCTTCGGGCTCTTGTTAGTATGCCACTGCGACTTTTCTGCGTTTGTGAATTGCGTCAGTGTCTGTGCCGCATCTGGCCCCTGAGCTGCCTTGGCCTGCCCAGAGAAATGGTACACGATTTCACTCGCTCTGGGAATTGAGCCGCAGTCGACCGGTGGAATTCCCATGAAGTCAACGATCTACATCGGATACACTAATTCAGCACTACTGACACTACTGAATTCATCGTGAACCCCTGCTGCCTCACAAGCCGCCGCCATGGCAATATGCAGAGCTACGTTTCCCTGAGACGCCGCCCCGCTTATCGAGGCGATTGCAGCCCGGAGCTTTCCATTTTCTTCTCGAAGTTCGCGGGTTGTGTCAATCTGCCTCTGTCTGAATGCTCGCTGGGAAATTTTACCCCTTTCGCGACGTTGCTACTTCTCTGTCAGCAATCTTAGTTGAGGAAAAGAGGATCCATGTTGGACGTGTACTCAAATAACATGCCTTGATCTCGTCATCTGCCATTTCTGAGGGATTCCTGTGATTTAAACCACTCGAGCACATTGAATGCTTCAAGCCAGTAACGGTGTACCGAGACTCGTCACTTCCTTCCTCAAAGCTAGTTGCTTGGAGTCGAGAACGTATTTCATTCATTAGTCATCCTCGGCCTCACTTTAATCGTAGGGTTGTAAAAGGTACCCAAAAGGCGCTTAGCTTCAGCTGGTGGTATGGCCCGACATCTTCATGGGTTTTCGTGACGCGTCAGCTTCTACTTGTCTTCACGAAAACCCATGAAGATGTCGGGCCATACCAAGATGATTTGGGAATATAAGACAAGGGGCCGAGGTTGGTGTGCGCAATGTGTACGTTCGCAGTATCGAATTTTGAGTGCTATCGCCCAAGAACGCCGCCCCCGTCTGGAGCCAATAGCGACATGGCGGGCAAGCTGGTTAGGCGCCGCAGCGCCTGAGTGCATGTAGTGCTTGTAAAGCAGCGGCAAACCATATCTGGTACATAGATGCGAGCCAAGTCGATTGATGATAGTTAACTGTGGCTTTGATTATCCTGGAGAGGTTACTTTGTAGCGACGGCCATGGTTACGGTTTGGGCCAGATACCAACGGACGGATATTCGTCTGGTAATATTCCGCCCTTATGACATACGCAGGCAGCGCAGTACACATTAACTGTGCGCATCAAATATTTCGCAATCAGAAAGTCTACCAATGTGTCAACCACCACTAGCAAGTGGCCTACGACACAGGGGCGCAGCACTCAACCCGGGTAATATCTGCTTCGCGTTTTAATCATTCGGCTGAATCACTTCCATGATTAGTTAACTACCTCTTCCAGACAGTCAAGTTCAAGTTGATATCATTTCCAGCAAACAACACCGCCATCTACAGGAAATAATCGAAATGGCAATCACGAGTGGCATGGTGCAGATGCATGCAGCTCCAGGCTTCTCGAGCTATGTTGCATCAAAGATAGCTGTCTTGAAGGTGTTTGATCAACTTGTGAATGAGAATCCGGATCTCACTACCATTCATTCCCACTTTGGCGTTACTGGGGCTAGCATGTTGACCAAGATCCTGAGCGTGGGCTTCCAGTTGCCTGAGGGCGACAGTCAGTTTGCGTTTTGTTCCTATGATAAAGGCGATATCTCGATACGGACCATACTTTTCATCTAGTTTCGCTGTCTGCCGTCTTTGCCGTTGGGGCTGCTAGCCAGGAGGCCAGGCTCTTCAATGGGAGGTTCGTCTCGGCTCAAGGGGCGTGGACGAGTTGCAGCAGATGAAAGAGGAGATTGTTGGAGATCTTTTCAAGTTAACTTTGGGTCTCGCGGCAGCCCCGTTGCATTGATGTTCTGATGCGGTTGAGGCTGTAACCGCATTGACCACCTTTTTGCATGCACCCCCATTTTGCAGGGAAATTCTGTCAGATAGGGCACCTGGTTCCTAGGTTCAGAAATGATATGGCACTGGAGAAGACTATTGTCACTTAAAGTTCAGAAGGCGAAAGGAACCCATTTCTCAAAAGTAACACCAAAGTTACTGTCCACTTAGGGGTCAGATACCTGAACAATGTACCTCCGATATGTTCTAAAGAATCTATAAAAGACAGAGCAACGGGAGTTCGAGAGGACAGAGAACGATACACCTCATTCATATACAATCTTACGCACTTCTGACTACTCGATTGGACACACGTGATATTCGACAAATTCTACGCCTCAACGACACGACGTTGTGACGACTGACACATGGACGATAAGCAGGGACATCCTGACATGGCCTGCCCTGATCTGGACGAGCGCGTTCCCCTTATAATAGGAGAACGGCCAGACATACTTGTAACCCTTTCCTTCTCTTTCTTCCCTAGTTTAGTATTCAACAATAGAGATGCACTGATATGCAACCTTGATTCGTACCTATGTGCCTCTGCCTCGTTACAGACGTCTCTCAATTTACCTCGTAATTGCTGCCTAGCTACGTACAAAATAGCTAATACAGTGGAGAATAGTCTGGACGATTTTGAGCAGCGAATCGAACGCGCTAAAGAGCTTGTCCGTCAGGGCTCTTCCTAGGCCATAGCAGCTCATCGGTACGGTATTAAAGGGACTACACTATCCTACCGTATTCATCACGGTAATTTGTATCGCAACGCGGCCTCCGGGTAACAAAAGTTAACTCCTGTCAGGGTACGGCTAGGCCGAAGGCAATAGTACAGAGTGATGGGGAGTAACGGGCGTCCCTCCTACGTAGCACCGGGTGGTCACTGGCGGTCTCAGGTAGGGGTGCCCACGGTGATGCATTGATCTCTGCCCTCTCTATCTTCCTCCGTCTCGACTCCTTACTTATAGCCAGCCGAGGTTCTCTCTTGGATTCTGGATGTTTGCTTCCGTATGTCTGTGTTCCTCCGACTTCGGCCAATATCTTGGACAGCGGCTCCTTATCTGCAACCAAGCGATTCCCTATCCGCTGCAAACGGCTTCAACGGCTCTCATTCGCCACAAGCGGCTCTCTAGCCGCCACAAACGGCTTCCTACCTGGTGGAAGCCGGCCCGCCTCGGATGAGACTTGTGGCTCTGACAACTCCTTCCCTATCCTACTTCGAGATGGTCCTTATATAGATAGCTAGGCCGCCGCTTGGACCCGGCATAACAGCAGGGTCGGCGATGCCAAGGATCTTGACTCTCGTCATCCCAAAGCTTCACATAGATTGTAATCATGATTCGGGAGTCTTTTGTCCGAAACACCCCTCCGGCGGCCCGCCGGTGTCCTGCGTTCAGTGTCCTGACACCCACTGGTGCCTATGGCATTCTGTTCTCTGACAACTCCAGAGTAAGAGGAGGTTATCGTGAACTGGATCCTATACGAAGAAGTATATGGACGGGCTCCTAGTAAGCGTTATATAGCCGACTTCGCTACCGAAATCCTCCTTACTTAAGGGGATAATAATACACTCGGCTAATACTAGGTAGATTACTTCGTTAGCCGCTATCTATAGATACGTACTAAAATTAGGCGCGTCGTAGATACTAGCCGAGTTAGAGCGTCCGATTCGAATAAGATCCGAGACTTCTACACCCTCCTCGAACGCTTACGTACGAAGTATCGTATTAAACCCGATAACGAGTAACGTAGTCCACGGTCCAATTGCACTTCGGCAGATTTTCGTACGCTACCACTTTGACCTGCGGTTTTTCACCACATAACTATGGTTGGTTCTTGGAATGAAAGTGATATGATTCTAGCATTACATGCGCTTCAATCTGATCCAAAATTAAGTGTACGTCGCGCTGGTCAGATCTATAACGTACCTTTTAGAACCCTTGCGTATCGACGCGACGGTAAAACCGCTCGAGCGATTACGCGATCGCCAACGCAAAAGTTGACTCCTTCCGAAGAAGAGGCAATCGTACGACATATAACCGACCTAGATTCGCGAGCATTTCCTTCCCGATTGAGTGGTGTTGAAGATATGGCCAACCGATTACTTCGAAGTCGCGACGCGGGACGCGTCGGCGTCAACTGGGCCTCGAGCTTCGTAAGACGACAACCAGACCTCCGGACGCGTTTAAATCGAAGGATCGACTATCAGAGAGTCCTCTGCGAAGACCCCGACGCGTATCGCGCGTGGTTTGACCTAGTACGGAATACAATTCCGAAATACGCGATCCAGGAGGAGGATATCTACAACTTCGACGAGATCGGTTTTGTGATGGGCCAAATCTCGTCCGAAATGGTCGTGACGACTTCTGATCGGCGCGAAAGGCCTAGAGCAGCCCAGCAAGGAAATCGGGAATGGGTTACAGTTATTCAAGGCGTTGGGTCGTCCGGTTATGCCCTCCCTCTGTACATCATTTTCGCCGGCAAAACCCACCTCTCGTCATGATACGAAAACAGCCCATTACCGCCTGATTGGGTTATCGCAGTTACTAAAAATGGCTGGACTACGAACGAGAGAGGCGAAGATTGGATTAAACACTTCGATCATCACACCAAGTCTCGTACGAAAGGTACTCATCGCCTATTGATCCTCGACGGTCACGAAAGCCATCACTCGACCGATTTCGAGGTATATTGCAAAGCTAACAATATCGTCACGCTTTGTATGCCTCCTCATTCGTCGCATAAGCTCCAGCCTCTTGATGTTGGTTGTTTTCGCGGGTTAAAAAGAGCGTACGGAAAAGAAATCGAAGATCTCATGCGAGCACATATAAGTCATATCTCGAAAGAAGACTTTTTACCGGCGTTTTTAAACACGTACAAGGCAAATGAGACCTTAAGTCGACGTCGCCATGCGAAGAAAAAACAGCTACAGAGTGGAGGGTCACTTCGTATACAAGCTGGACAGGACCTACAGTCTCAACGAGAGGTTGATGGGCAGTTACATGACGAATTTCGTCAAATTGGTGGTCGTACGAGGCGGCGAATTGCGCGTGTACGGCGCTGTAGAATCTGCGGCGAGCCCGGACATAATGCGCGCACTTGTGGAAATGATGTAGAGACGTCTGAAGATAACGATTCTGAGTAGTTTCAATTGATGATAGGCGTTGTGGTTGAATTAACTTATACATTGTCGTATAAGGTCTGCCAAAGTGTGCAATTGGACCGTGGACTACGTTAGACGAAGTATTTAGGTTAATTCTAGACCCTGCAAAATAGGGGTGTATGCAAAAAGGTGGTCAATGCGATAGGTAAGTTCGTCAGATAGACTGGACCCACTGGCGTCCCGCTGGTCATTTTGGCCTATAGATACGTGATAAATGAATGTTACGAGCCGAACTATCTCTGCCTGATAAGTTCAGCATGATGGCACTCACTCCGTTATACATTTTCGGAGGTGGCATCCATCCATCCGGCGTGCCTATTGAACCCCAAATTTACTCCTCTCTACCTGGCCAACTGCCGGTTTCGGGAGGCATAAGCGCCTCCACAATAGGCACCACATATCGACTCTTCGCACCCTGGACTGGCACTAAACGCCCAATCCGAAAGCCACTTGGGATTGTCCGAAGTGGGGGAGACCGGGTTTTGCCGTCTACTCGACGTTCTTATCTCTGATGTAATGGCTCAATGACTTAATCGGATTAATTGGTCGAGTAAAGTCTTATCAGGTTACAGTTGGCCAGGGTTAGAAAAAGTTGACCAGGGGGTAGATATTTTGTGGCGCAGCAAAGTTGATTAGGTCAGAAATTTCCTAACCCTGGCCAAGGTTTTGCTAAGGATAGCTCACTAAATTAGGTATAAAGCACAGTACCAGACTTTTATAGTATGTCATATGCAAAACATATGTATCGAGAAGACAGATGCATATATTTTGCATACACGGTACTATACTATTCCAGTTATATGTACTAGATGGGATTAATATACTAAGAACGGTAATAGAAGTAGTTACTATGATATAATATCGTTCGAGTTTCTCTAATAAGTACAGGGCATATGTATAGCATATGTGCAATCTATGTATCGCATATAAAGTACTTATGTGATGCTTATACTTAGTAGTCTAATCGTAAGCTAACTTAAGCTTAGTATATGCTATAAAAATGTAATAGTATCCGGATCTATAGATATACATAACCGAAGATTACTTTATAGATATTTCCCAAAGCTAAGCTATATATATATGTTATATATACAAATTAGATAGTTTAGCCCTATATATATACTCCTATGTCGCTATATATGCGTTATATTTACTCCGTGTATAAACCTTTCTCTGATACTGTGGTGATGATTTATTTGGTTAGACTACCGTTAGCGTTAGCTTGGCAAGACTTGGCTAGGGTTAGAAAATTTCTGACCCTGATCAACTTTGCTGCGCCACAAAACTTCTACCCCCTGGTCAACTTTTTCTGACCCTGACCAACTGTACGCTCAAGTCTTATCGTAACGACATTGGAGATGGTGTGTGCCACATGATTCGTACGGATTGCTTTGCCGCATTGAGACATGCCTTCCGGCGTCTTCAGTCCATGGAGGCTTCCCCTGAGGTGGAAGGTATATATGGTTGACAGTTCTATCGTCGAAATAAGCATATTGTAATTGATCCGAGCTATTTTCATCACTTCATCTTCATTTCAATGTTCAAGCCACTCCCCGAGAGCCATCATTGCATCATCAAGATGGGGGGAACTGAGCTGCACCCCTTTGATCCGCTCACAGTGAGCGAGATCGAGGCGACTATCAACATCGTGAAGAAGGCGCACGGAGAGTTATTCTACAATGTGGTCTCACTTCACGAGCCGCGGAAGGCGGAAATGACGAAATGGCTTGAAGACCCTGTCAATGTACCAAAGCCGGCACGAATCGCAGATGTGGTCGTCATTGCACCTGGTGGCAAGGTGTATGACGGGCTGGTTGATCTCCAACATGGAAAGATCACCAAGTGGGAGCTGTTGAAGGGTCTCCAGCCGATTGTAAGTCTTGTCTGCACATTTAACAGTTAAACGAAGGTTAACTCTCCTTTCAGATCACCATGGAGGAGCTCATCGCGGTTGAACACATTTGCCGAAAAGACCCAAAGGTGATAGAGCAATGCGAAATCAGCGGTGTCCCCAAGGATGAGATGCATAAAGTTTACTGCGACCCCTGGACCATTGGCTATGATGAGCGTCACGGCAACGAGGTGCGATTGCAGCAAGCACTCATGTACTACCGGCCGAACCCGGATGACTGCCAATACGCCTTCCCCTTGGACTTCTGTCCAATCTACGATGCGGACAAGCAGGCCATCATCGACATCGACATTCCAAAAGTACGACGGCCGTTGCGCAAGGTCGACCCCATCAACTACCATCCTGCTGCCATTGAGAAAGCCGGGGGATACCGGACAGATATCAAGCCAATCAACATCACACAACCTGAAGGTGTATCGTTCAAGATGAGTGGAAGACAGATCGAATGGCAAAACTGGAAGTTTCACATTGGGTTTAACTACCGTGAGGGTATTGTGCTCAACGACATCTCGTACAATGACAAGGGGACCGCGAGGCCAGTCTTCTACCGACTTTCACTGGCGGAAATGGTTGTCCCCTAGTAAGTCTCTCAGCGGTCGACGTGGAATAAGAGATAACTGACTTTTCATAGCGGTAACCCCGAACACCCGCATCAGCGCAAGCACGCATTTGATCTTGGAGAGTATGGAGCGGGTTACATGACCAACAGTTTGTCTTTAGGGTGTGATTGCAAGGGCTCGATCCACTATCTTGATGCGGACTTCCCGGCCAGAGATGGAAGTATCCGGACCATCAAGAACGCAGTCTGCATCCACGAAGAAGATGCCGGTATCCTCTTCAAGCACACTGACTTCAGAGACGAGTCGAGCATTGTCACTCGTGCGAGAAAACTGGTGATTCAGCAAGTCTTTACTGCTGCAAACTACGAATATGCCATCCAAGTTAGTTCCCCCTTTCCGCATACTGCGATAGACTTAACTAACTGGATATAGTGGATCTTCCACGTAAGTGATTATTGAAATATTTAGGAAGCCAGATTAGGGTACTGACCTCCTCCTGTTTAGCAAGATGGAACGATCCAGCCAGAGATCAAGCTGACCGGTATTCTTAACACGTATGTGATGAACGAAGGCGAAGATACAAACGGCTGGGGAACACAAGTATATCCCGGTAAGTCTGTTTCTCAGTGTTGATTGTTGCGAGCCAACGACTGACAACTTTAGGGGTCAATGCACACAACCACCAACACCTGTTCTGTCTCCGCGTCGATCCCAACATCGACGGTCCCAACAACACAGTCTTCATGGCCGATGCATTGCCATCAGACGCCGCCGTCGGTAGCCCAGAAAATCCATACGGCAACGCCTTTTACGCCAAGCGCACCAAGTTCAGCAAAACAGGAGAGTCCGCTACAGACTACAACGCCGACACCAGCCGCACCTGGGAAATGTGCAACACCAACAAGCTGCACCCTTACAGTGGCAAGGCGGCATCATATAAGCTCATCAGTCGCGAGGTTGCGCGATTACTACCCAAGGAAGGTTCTCTGGTATGGAAGCGTGCCGGCTTCGCTCGTCACGCCGTGCATGTGACTAAGTGTGCGTCCGCCCCTGTTCTTTCTCTTCTCTTTCCCCTTCCCTAGCCCCTCTCCGTAATCAACTCTCTAACCTAGTAACAGACAGCGACGACCAACTCTGGCCAGCGGGGCGTCACGTCCCCCAAACTTCGGGCGAGCCCTCAGCCGGTCTACCGGAATGGATGGGTGACGGTTCCGAATCCATCGACAACACCGACGTGGTGCTGTGGCACACCTTCGGCGTCACGCATATTCCCGCTCCCGAGGACTTTCCTGTCATGCCTGTTGAGCCCATTACGTTGCTGCTCAAGCCGCGCAATTTCTTCACTAACAACCCTGTTATGGATGTGCCGCCTAGCTTTGCGAGTACGCCGAGTCAGGTGGCAGCGAACAACAACGGGGTTTTGGATGCGGCGGATAAGGTTAGTAAGTTGGCGTTTAGAAATGGAGAAAGTTGTTGTGCGGTGAATGGAACAAATGGGGTGAATGGGCATTAACATGTTTGGGATTTGAGGTTGCAGGGTAACTGCTAGGCATGTTTGTATTCTATTCAGCTATGGATCTTGAGGGAAACGAATTCTGCTGCTAGGAACATATTGATATTGCTTCAGTACTTGCGATCCAGCTTGATCAAGTGGCCACTTGGGTCTTGGGTGTTTTGTTTGTCTGCAATGCTGCGTTTGGGTCGATGTTTGTACATCACGTAGATACCATCCCATCAAGGGATTCAATATGTAGCCCGTTATTTTCCTATGTTTATCAACATCGCTAGCAGGAATTCTCAAGTTGCTATATGATGGCTTCTATTTCTCCTGCATGATCCTGAGTACATATTTAATAGAGGTCTCGATGGATACCTTTAAGTAGTCCAGTAGATTAAAGTGGCTATAGAGCATCTATCAATATGCATGTTTTCCAAGATAGCCACGGTGATGCTCTTTGCGGTATCATCTAAATATCCACTAAGGGTAACGTCCCACACCCACATCCGAGACACCCCCACATGTGGGACGCCCTAAAAATAATACTATATATTATAACGTACCCCACAAGCAAGTTGGCCACTTTTTCTTGGCACCGTACGAACAACCTTTTAATTAACATCTTTACACATACCAAGATGGGATCGAACTAGAAAGAAAGCGATATGATTCTAGCATATCAGGCGCTTCAATCGAAACCCGAATTAAGCATCCGACGCGCTACCCAACTCTATAATATCCCTCGTATAACTCTAGCTAACCGAAAACGCGGACTACTATCTCGACGCGATACTCGACAATCTAGTCATAAGCTTACGGAATCAGAAGAGTTAGCGGTCGTACAATACATACTTGACCTAAATTCGCGATCATTTCCTCCCCGGCTCTATGGTGTTGAAGCTATAACCGACTGCTCCGTAACCGTGGCGCTGGTGTGACGGTTGTCACGTGATTGACCTACACTGGTCTGAACAGATTGATAAGTGGTTGTAGATATCAAAGTCAGGGACTTTGGTATTGGTCTCTTTTGGTGAAGACATCTGGTAAGGTGGCGTAGTGGCAATGTCAGAGAACAGAATGCCATAGGCACCAGTGGGTGTCAGGACACTGAACGCAGGACACCGGCGGGCCGCCGGAGGGGTGTTTCGGACAAAAGACTCCCGAATCATGATTACAATCTATGTGAAGCTTTGGGATGACGAGAGTCAAGATCCTTGGCATCGCCGACCCTGCTGTTATGCCGGGTCCAAGCGGCGGCCTAGCTATCTATATAAGGACCATCTCGAAGTAGGATAGGGAAGGAGTTGTCAGAGCCACAAGTCTCATCCGAGGCGGGCCGGCTTCCACCAGGTAGGAAGCCGTTTGTGGCGAATGAGGAGCCGGGAAGCCGTTTGTGGCGGCTAGAGAGCCGCTTGTGGCGAATGAGAGCCGTTGAAGCCGTTTGCAGCGGATAGGGAATCGCTTGGTTGCAGATAAGGAGCCGCTGTCCAAGATATTGGCCAAAGTCGGAGGAACACAGACATACGGAAGCAAACATCCAGAATCCAAGAGAGAAACTCGGCTGGCTATAAGTAAGGAGTCGAGACGGAGGAAGATAGAGAGGGCAGAGATCAATGCATCACCGTGGGCACCCCTACCTGAGACCGCCAGTGACCACCCGGTGCTACGTAGGAGGGACGCCCGTTACTCCCCATCACTCTGTACTATTGCCTTCGGCCTAGCCGTACCCTGACACGTTGATCTCTCCACCCGTCTCCGGGCGTACGGACCGTTGGGGAGAAAATGGCGATGCGAAGAGCCCTGATGCGAAGCCAGACCACAGCCGCAGGCACGCTGGGTGACACCGGAGGAGCTACATCGAGTAGTGCAACGACGACGACAGCGACGCAGACGAGCAGTGGCACTGTCGACGCTACGACGACAACAGCGACGATGAGGCAACTGAGCCGGTCCCAACTAGAGGAGCTCGAGCTAGAAGAGCTTGACCGTCTAGTGGAAGAAGAAGTAGTGAGGAAGAAGAAACGAGAAAGGATTGGACAATTGGAAGCTTTAAGAAGGGGAGAGCCGCATAATAGTACCGCCGGTGGGACCCAGGTTGAACCTATCGGACCAGGCCTAAAGCGACCTCGGCTTGATCTAGGAGGGAGAGGCCACTTGCCGACACTCAAGTACCGGGGCACCAACTGGTCGGAACTTACCTCGTTCATGTTAAACCTAAAGGGGAGATTCATGATGTACGCGGAGGACTTCGACACTGATGCGGCGCGTGTACTGCACACCACCGGATGCCTTGATGGGGCGGTGCAACGACGGTGGACCAGCCACGTTGCTACTATTTACAAAAACGACTTGGGGAACGTCCGGTGGGACGCTATGGAGAAGTGGCTGGAGAGGAGTGTGGCTAGCGACGATACGCGAGTGATCAGCGTGATGCAGAGACTCGATAGTATCACCCAGCGCCCCAACCAGAGCTACCAGCAGTTCATCGACGTATACGATGCTATAGAGACAGAGTGCCCTGATCAACTACCGGAACGGATACGCGTCGTCAACGTACTCAACCGCTTACGACCGGAGTTGAAGCGACAAGTCATGACCCGAGGACTTCCCTCGACTCGGTATGAGCTTGACGACGTAGCTAAGCAAGCCGAGGCGATTGAAATAAGCAGCAGACCACCGGTGTACCAACAGCCTGGCCCGAGGACCAACGCAACATCGTCCTCGACCCCAGCACCAGCAAGGGAAGAAACATCAGACGGGAATGCAGGCCAACAGGCGCCCAGGAGGGATGTGGCTTACGGCCAGTGCTACTCGTGCGGACAGACGGGACATTACTCTCGACAATGCCCTAACTGCAGGACCTGCGGTAGAACCAAACATGACGGACCTTGTCCTGAGGACCGGAACCCAAACACAGCGCCGCTGGGGGTCCGCCACACCGAGCCTCAATAGGGGTACGAGCAGCCGCTCCGTCTGGAAACCACCATCCGTCTCCGGGTTGGCGGCTGCTGGCGCATTGGAAAAGCCTTGATTGACACCGGAGCCGACGAGAATGTCGTGGACTCAAGAGTGCTTGGCATCGAGCCGGGTACGTTACAAGACTCCGGTGAGACGCTGCGGGGCATGTGGGGAAGCAAAGGTCCCAACTATGGCAAGAGGGTATTACATACAAAGATGACGGACGGCTTCGGGGTGACGAAGACGAAGGCTCACGAATTCCGAGTCTCAGACGCAGAAGACTGGGTTGCAATCCTTGGGCTCCCCTGGTGCCGTGCCGTTGAGCCTATATTTCGATGGTCCTCGTTAGGATGGACGTACCCTCTCGACGTGGACAGTCTACAACTGGTGACCAGCAAGAAGGATATACGGAATGCGTACCACGAGGCAAAGTACAGTATGATAGCAGTGCCCGCGGTAGCAAGGGTCGAAGCTAGCAAGGACAGAGGAGCCGGAGCAGAGCCGCAGACCAAGTGTGCCACCGTGCCGTCGGAATACGCAGAATTCCTCCATCTATTCGACGCGCAGTTAGCAGGGAAATTGCCAGATGGAAGGTTTCGGTCACACAAGATCGAGCTAGAGCCAGGTGCCGAGCCGCCGCACGGGCCCATCTATCCACTAGCGGAGAAAGAGCTCGAGGAACTACGAGAATATTTGAAAATGGCCTTGAGCAAGAAATGGATTCGGCCCTCGCAGAGCCCAGCTGGGGCGCCGATCCTATTCGTACCGAAGAAAGGAGGAAAGTTGAGGCTATGTGTGGACTACAGAGGCCTTAACAAGATCACTGTGAAGAACAGAGCGCCACTACCACTGATCGGTGAGATCTTGGATAGGCTAGCTTCCGCGAAGTGGTATACGAAGCTGGATCTGAAGGATGCATACCACCGGGTCCGGATCAGCGAAGGAGACGAATGGAAGACGGCGTTTCGGACGAGATACGGTCATTTTGAGTATCTGGTCATGCCGTTCGGACTAGCTAATGCGCCGGCGACCTTCCAGAGCTACATCAACGACGCACTAGCTGGACTTGTGGACGTGATCTGTATCGTCTACTTGGACGACATCCTTATATTCTCTAAGGACAGGGAGTCACACCCAGAGCATGTCCGGGAGGTCCTCCGCCGGTTGGACGCCGCTGGCCTGTACGCTAATCAAGACAAATGCGTCTTCCACACGCAAGAAGTCGAGTTCCTAGGGTTCGTGGTGTCACCGGAGGGGATCCGCATGGAAACCGACAGGGTGGATGCTATCGCGCAATGGCCAGCCCCGGCTAGTATCCATGATATACAGGTTTTCCTCGGATTTACTGGGTTCTATCGCCGGTTTATCAAGAACTACTCGAAGATAGTAGCACCCCTGACAGACCTACTCAAGGGAGGATCATCTGGAGCGCTGCAGCTCGATAATGTAGCACACGAGGCGTTCTACAAGCTACGCCTGGCCTTCACACGAGCACCTATCTTGAAGCATTTCGAGCCTGGACTACCTATACGTGTAGAGACTGACGCATCAGACTTCGCAATTGGCGCAGTACTTAGCCAGCTGCACGGAGACAGGTGGCACCCAGTGGCTTTTATGTCCAAGAAATTGAAAGGTGCTGAGCTACGCTACGGGACACCCGATGCGGAGCTGCTCGCGATTATTGAGGCAACACAACGATGGCGGCACTATCTGCTGTACAGTCAACAGACGATTGAGATTCTCACGGATCACTTGAACCACCGCTACTTAGCCAGTAAGCCGCAGCTCAGCGCTAGACAAGGTAGATGGCTACAGGACCTTGCGAACTATGACTTCGAGATCATATATCGACCAGGCACGAAGAATCCTGCCGATGGGTTGTCAAGACGGCCTGACCACCGCGCGACAGCGGGTGAGAAACAGGAGGCGCAAGTAGCGTTCTTGCCAGACTTCCTACAACGATTTAGGAGTATCAGAGTGCGAGTAATGGAGACACAGCGCGCAAGCGGTGCTACAGCTGGCGTCCCTATGCCGGAAGAGTTGGCTCCGACATTACT